CCCCGACTACATGTGCACACACACCTCTATCGGTCTCTGAGAATAATTAAATCAAGAACAGATGGGGGCATCAACACACTTTGTAGAGTCCAAAGCAATTATAAAAGATCTACAGGATAAAAAAGCCAGTGTGTTTCGGGGGTTCACCTAGTCTTTTCATCAGAGTTTATAAAATGCTTAGTTGATTGAATCTATTTTGGTAAAGTGTGGACTTGGGCTTAAATCATAAATTACAGTATTAACTAGTGTCGTCGATGTGAATACCAATCCATCCACGGACACTGGTTAATAGTGACATTGATGATTTAAGCTGGAGTCCATATTTTCTCCAAACAGAATTTAACCAGCTAAGAATTTTAAAAGCCCTGGTGAAAGGGAAGCAGTGTGTACCCCTGAAACACATTGCCTTTTTTATCCTCTTGACCTTTTACAAATAAATTGTTTTGGACTTTACAAAGGGTGGTGCACCCCCATCTGTTCTCGATTGCTTTTACTCAAGACCCCGTCCTCTTGTTTGGGAGGTTCCTGTCTTTTTGTGGGAGCAGCTTCATCGGAACTTTCAAATTCTGCAATTGAGAAAAGTTATCCCCAATGTGGATTACCAAAAATACTTACCACCGCTTCTACAGACGTTTACAGAGAATAATTGGGCTGTTTCTAGAGACTTCAGGATGGTCTCCATCATCTGAGACCGTCTTTCAAGTCTCTGAAGGCTACTTGAGTAATCTTTTCTAGCAGATACATATGCTGAAGCTGCTAGCCACTTGTGTGTCTGTGTCAGGGGTCTGTAATACAGTATATAATATACATGTATTGAGAAGAACAAGGAGTGGACAGTATAGAGTACTGCTTGCCAAAGTGCAGTTTCTTCTATCCTCTGAGCTTGCATGAGTAAGTTTTCATCAGGATTCTTTATCTCTACATTATTGCACATTACACTGCAATATGCCTATGCATCAGCCAAGATTTTTCTCAGTTGCTAATTGTCTCTCCCCAATTGAGATCCCCTGAGATTTCTTCCTGTGGCCATCAGTGCCCTGCAGATCATTGTGCAAAGCTGCCATAGTCATGGGTGTTAGACACAGAGCACAAATTGGCCAACTTCACACTGTGCTTGTTTACTCTTCACAAAGGTCTGGGCATGCAATTTGTGTGCATTGCTTGAGTCATCAGACCAAGAACTGAACATTCAGTTGGTACAGATTCAAATTCCATACTATGCGCGAAATATTGAACATGAACAGTGAAATTTTAGTCTGATTTGGACTGTTTTTCGTTTTGCTTATTTCTCTGGTTCTTTAACATATTAAAGGCCAGCTGTGATAGAGGCCTACTCTTCTTGCCTTTTGATGTCAGTAGTTTGTAAAATGTTCTACTTTCATCTGTAGTAGAATAGTTTATTATTCATAAAAGAAAATCTGGCTTCATAGTGGTCTTTTGAACTTCTCTTTTCAAGCCTTTTTTTGGTTTTTAATTTGAACCTTTTAATTACGGAGGCCCTCCTTACTGAAAACATGGCATTACACTCAAAAATGACTTAATGATATTCATGTTAGGCTGATCTGCGAAAGCTGAAGAAATTTCCAGTAATGTAGCTTATGCCTATTACAAATAGTCCGGTTTCATTATTTAGAAGTAATAAGGATCTGGTTATTATGGGCATTGACTCCACTTTTGCACCTGTCTTGTTTGTGGAAAACGTGACTTCATTTAGTCATGTATGAGTTGCCATTATTGCCTTCTGTTTTTAGGAGTATAGGTACAGACACCTGACTCATGTACATTTTGGCAAGAGGGCCTCTAGCACCTAGTATGAAAGATCAGTATAAACTATATTAGACCTCCTTAAATGGGGTCGGACTTTGCAGCACAAAAATGTGTGACACTTCCATTAAATGTGTTCATTTACAAATAGGTTTGCCATTGCTTGATTGCTCATGTGAAATACCGCAGAGGTAAATGTGAAGCAAGCAGCACTTCATTAATATCTCTGTTTTGTAAAAAAAATACTTTTCTTTTTTCAAAAATAAATGTTTATTGGATTTTGCAAAGATAACAAGCATGGTTAGTGCAATATAAAGGGCAATGCAAGGAAAAGTAAAAGGCAACATTTCACTCAACAATACTCAACCAAAAAAGATGCTGTCATGTTTGTACATTTACAATATGCATTCAAGTATATAAAGAGCAAGTTCATAGAGAGAGGATGGGGGGAAGGGAAAGGGTCAAGAATAGGGGAGGAGAGAGAAGAAACTTTGTGACTGTTCATGTTAATGGATCCACATTTTCCATTTTCTATTAAATACAATAAACTTACCGCTTTTTAAGCGCGAATAATCTCTCGTATTCGTAGTGTAATTGTAAGGTTTGATAAGTTTCGCACACAGAGACAATTAATGGGCTTCTCCAATGCCTGACAATACTGAGTTGAGCAGCCAACAAGGTGTGGACAACCAGTGCTTGATAATGAACAGGGAAGCGGTCAATTCCTATAGGTAGAAGGCCCAATGCTGGGTTAGGGGCTGTACTACACCCGGGCATAGATGATAGTAACTGAAAAATGCTACTCCAATAACTCGTCAATGATTTACATTTCCAGAGTATGTGTAAAAGCGTACCAGTCTGCCCACAGTTTCTCCCAACAGAGCGCCGAGGCTGATGGATGTTTGTACATTTGTAAAGTAATTTAACAATGCAATATCTGTGAGTCATACTAGGGTATAGATGTTACAGTATGAACATTTTATGATTTTCAGTCTTGTGCTGCTGCCCTTTCTCAAAATACTTTATTGTATATCATCTTGATTTATTCTGCATGAAGTGAATAACTAATGGGTTAGATGAGCACACATCTTGTTTCTGCCTATTGGAATTTTTTAATATGGGTTATATTGAGGTTAGTCGTAAACTAAACACCGTGAGATCATCATAGAAAAATCAGATATAGAATTATATTAAGTTAAATCCCTCTTGGTGATTATTGCATGCCTGCATTCTCTACTTCTTCTTCTCTTTTACAGGATATGAATATCACTTCATAAAATGTTGCTATAAGCAATTTTGTGAACAGACCTGTTCATATCCTTGAAGGTGCCTGAACAAATGGAGGGACTAGGGTATTAATGGGGGACCGTTGTGACGTGTGGGTTATGGGGGTACTGAGATTCATGCAAAGGGGCACTTTTGGCTGTGTCTCTACCAGAGTTTGAGAAGAGTAGCCATACCTCTTTCTTGGATTGGATATGGATTCATAGCACAGAGTGACTGCCACCTTTGTGTGCATGTTAGAGAAACATGCACAAGCTGCAGACTTTATGGGTTAAGTGTTGACCTTTCTCATCTGTGAAGGTCTATTTATTATAGTGTGATCACAGTAAATTGATGTTTTCAACGGTAGTCATCCTTACATTTCAGGCTCTAATGTAGAGAGAGAGAGAGAGTTCATGTTTTATATGAGAAATTTCCAATGTGACCTCTAGAAGTGACCTCCATTGTAAAAGCTTAATTCACAGGCTTCTCTGAACAGGTACATAGTGTTCTAACAACTGTTATTAATCCCAACAGAAAGGCCAGCTCCCTTTTGGTTCTAAAATGAAGAATAACTTTAATAAAGGGTTTTATTGCAAACAACATTTCATAGTAATTAGTGTATGTTTACTCTGACCATGAGCGTCTCTTGTTTTTTTACTTCTGACCTGATAAATATACCATTGAAACAAATTTGTTGTATCTGTTTGATAAGTGCTTGCTGATCCTGCCAGTTATCCAGTTCTGTCCTATGGACTCTGCAGTGTTATATCAGCCCTGCCTAATTTTCTTCTGTGAACTACAGAGCACCTCTTATGTTGGGAAGTAGGGGTTGATCGATTATCTGATCAACTGATAATCTGGCCTGAAATTCATACATTTTTTAATGATCAGAATCCGTCTTAAATTTACTGATATTACCGTCGCAACCCCATTCATCTGCTGGTGGCTAGATTCTGCAGCCGGCAGCTGAATGCAAACAGGAGGCAGTAGGCCTGATATTGGTTGACCCCTACTAGTAATGGCAGTAAAGGGAACCCCCCGTCCCCCAGGGTCCCAGTTATCTGCCGGCAGTTGAATGTAACGGCAAACAAAATGCAAGGCCTAATTTAACATTTACAAGTTTGATGCAGATTTAAAGTATAGCACTGTGGTTTAATTGCAATTCAGAGTAAGTACAAATATTACTTTTTACAAATTGTTTAAACTCCTTATGTATCAAAACCTAAGCCATTTGTTTTATGTTTCAGTCTTTTTTTTTCCTTTTTATTATGCCCTGCCAGTAACACACTTCCTGTCCTAGAGTGACAACTCACCAAACTGCCTCATTCATCTTCCGGCAGCTAGATTCCACAGCCAGCAGCTGAATGGGAATGGCAGGCAGTGGGCGGGAGCAATAGCCAGCCTGCTATTGCAATTCAAAATAGCCAATAGCAGGCTGGCAATTGCACCCACCCACTGACTGCTGTTTACTTTCAGCTGCTAGCAGGTCCTGAGAAAAAATATATCAGTCAACCCCTATTGGGAAGGTGTGTTGTAGTCCTAACACACTCCCTGTTCCAGGGTAACCACAATGCTTCTCCATAGATACAGTGTGGTGAGTAAATGTTATCACGCTAGGACAGGAAGTGTGTTACTGGCAGGGCACAATAAAAGGAAAAAAAGACTTGCGTTTTGATACATATTAAGGAGTTTAAACAATTTGTAAAATGTAATATTTGTACTTACTCTGAATCTCAATTAAACCCCAGTGCTATACTTTAAATCTGCATCATACTTACAAATTGAAAATGAAGCCTTGCATTTTGTACACTTAAATACATATCCTTTGATATCCTTTATAGTGAAAATTTTAACACTACGATAGCCTAATTGCTGGTTTGAAAAAAGCTTTTCTGAAAATTTAATTCTATGTCTTTATATGTTAAAAACTACTAGTAAAGTCGACCTTTTTTTATTTTTCTGTTTCTCAGCTCCGAAAAATTGGTGGTGGTGGCTTTGGAGAGATCTACGATGCCCTGGATCTGTTAACGAGAGAAAATGTGGCACTCAAAGTGGAGTCTGCCCAGCAACCAAAACAGGTGCTAAAAATGGAAGTGGCAGTCCTTAAGAAACTACAAGGTAAGGTGGTCAAGCTTTCAGAATAGTTAGCAGTATCAAAAAGTTTAAAGACTAACTCCCAAAATTCAAAACTTTAACCCTTGCAGTGGGGCAACCACTGCACGGCAAGGAGTAACTGCTCATTTTGGTCAGGGGCCAGATAAAAGAAGATGTACTCGCCTGATACTCACTCCCACCTGTCTGCTAGATTGGCTCCGGCAGCTTCTTCTCCCCTGGGCTCTGGTGGTATAAGGACCTGTGACATCATCATGTCTAATGCAGGCTAATTCACTTGCATTAGACGTGAGGACGCCGAGGGACATACCACAGTCGGGGGTGAGAGACTTGAGTACTGGCCACTGAAGGGCTGATTATTAGGTGAGCATATCTTCTGTAGTCCGGCCTCTGGAGTTCTGCTTTGTTGGCTTTAAAGACAGTGTTGTGCAAATGGCCCTTTTTTTAAATTTCTTCCATAAGCGGATCTGTAATTGCAATAAAAAGTGCCTATTGTATTAAATAACAGTTTGGAATTAGAAGCTGCGGTAAAACGGTCAAAATTTAGTCTTTTTTTTTTTCTATTTTTATTCAAGACAGATCCTGTCTGATAGATTTGTGGTTAGATAGAAGACCAAAAAGAAAAGCTCTTTGGCCAGAACTGCAAGTAGGAAACATAACCTTCATGATGAGCAAATATACATATATGATTACAAACTATATATAGAAACAGAGTTTCAATATATTAATTTGCTGATGAACATTGTTAGTCAATTTTCTAAAAATAAAATTGCACAGACTATAGTTCCCTATAAAGGCTTCATGCTCACGAAATGCAGTTGTGCATTCAACACTTTTATGTTTTAATAATAGTTTTTGAAAAATTATAATAAACCATATAATATCCAAATCGTGTGTCTACCGTTGAATTTGTGAACGTCCTAATATCGGTATACATCATAAAATTAAGCAATTTGATTTTAAAAAAGATGTCTGTAACGGGAAGCTACAGTATAATGTTATTTGATCCATTTAATTTTGGTGTTTTTTATGTCAATTGTTTCCAAGTAATGCTTTATATTGCTTTTACACACAAGAAATATGCAATTTTCTGCAAATTAAAATTAGATTACATAAAAAGGATTTCTAGACCTGTATGGGTCATGCCTCATGGCTGCCTTTTGTCTAAGTGAACCTGTGGGCTGAACTATCTGAAATGGGCTGAGTGATTCAGATTTAGCTACAAATGTCTGTAAACAGGCTTTTTGCAACAGATTGCTGCAAGACGTGCATTCTTTTTTGCCGGTTGCTTGATAGACATGTGCACACGGAAAAATTTCATTAGCACCTAAGTTTATTTAAAGAGAGCCCACTCCTTGCAGAATTTTCTCTGGTTGCAAAAGCAAAGAGAAATTCTGGCCCATCACCGGGATTACATGATTTAGGACATACTTATTTATTTTTTTAATTTTTTCTTCTTACACTATCATGTAGGTAAAACAGCAAAATCTGTTTCTTTATAAGACATGTTTGGTCTTGGTGCTAGCAATAGTGCTTTGGCAAGAGTTTCTCTAAGACATATGTTTTGGCTTTCCCAGGCAGTAACCTTTTAGGTATGCAGGAGAGTCTCCATGTTCACTGAGTGTCCATCAACTTTCTTCTCCTAAAAGTCAAATATCGGAGAGATGTAGATCTGAAATCTTTGTCTGCTGTGTTGCTGCCTGAGAAAGTGTAGAGCCACAGCTGAGGTAAAGAGTGATTACCGGCTGCTGCTGTATGTGAGCTGGAATGACGCACGTCTCATTATACATTACCCCTGAGTCTACTGAGAGACAGCAGAATTCTAACTAGGAAAATGTCCATGCAAAAGAGAAGGATGCAGTGTAATTAAAATCCATCCATTACTGCTGCACAAGCTGCATCCATTTTGTAGGCTGAGCCCTTTATTTCCAAGATCGATTCCTTTTAAAATTGGTGCCGATGACATCTTTAAGCCACAATTGGATATATCTTAACTGTATGAAACAAGACCACACTTGTGTCAGGGCAATTAAAGTAGAAATAAAAATAGAATATTAACTATGGTTTTTATAGCTCCCTTAATTCCTATATGACATAACTGGACAGATTCCAAGGTAGCCAATTCTATGGCACCAAAAAAAAATACCGCCGACACTTAAATTTAGAGTAAACGTCTCTTCAATTCTAAAGTAAAGCAGAGTAGAGCTATTAAAAGGCATGTGACTGAGACGTTTGCTGGAAGGTACTTGTGACTGAGACGCAAATTAATTGTGTTTTACAGGAGTAGGTCCACTTTTCAGGACTAAAAGGTCAAATTCAAAAAAGGGAAGTAACTCATCAATTTGTAAGCAGCAAACGAGGGGCCACAAGCGAGCTGCTGGTTTGTGCCGTCTGTCTGTCCCGCCTAAAAAAAAAAAAAAGAGGCTTCCAGTAAAAGAAGCAGCTTTATACTTTGCTGACAGGGTCAGTTTAAGTTTGGTTATTGTTATTCTTTTGTCATTTCACCTACTGAATTAGTTTTGTGGGTAAAATGCTTTTTTGAGTTATCAAATGTGGTGTTTAAACGTAGTTAAAAAAGGCCTTTCTTATTTATTGATGTGCTACTGGTATGTCTTCATCGCAAAGATTACACAATCAAACTGTTAAGGAACCACGCTGCTATTCTGAAATCATTATTGATCTGTTCTCGGTGATCTTGGCTCTTATCTGGATCCTCTGCCTTAATCCCATTGCTCTGATCTTGCGCTAAATAAAAACCCCACGGTAGCTGTGTACAGATTAGGAAGATGAAGAACTATGTGAAGTAACCTACCTGGTGAATAGGCTGGAGTAATTAGGAAATGTAGTGAACAAAAGTATAAAAGGTGATTATTTACCTGAATTTAAAAATGCAAACAGGAAACATTAAAACAGGTCCCCCTTACCTGTTTCTGAACCCTTGTAAATCGCGGCGTGCTCTGCGGGCGTGTGTCCGGCGGCCGTGTGCGCGGTGGGCATGGCGTCCGCAGCGTGCATAGCGTCACTCGTGTATGGAGCTGCGAACAGGCGGGTGTGAGTGGGAAATATAAATTTTAGCCGACGAATCGACGATGGAAAACGCTGACAACGTTTACCATTGTCGATTTTTATCGATTTAATCTAATAATTGTTGCAGCTCTACAGAATACCAGCGGTACACTGCTGAACACCAGCAGCTATAGAGGAACAACAAATCCCAGCAATAATACATTATACAGGCTGTTTAATTATTGCTGGGATTTGTTGTTCCTCTATAGCTGCTGGTGTTCTGCAGTGTGTCACTGTATACAATGCAGAACACCATGCACAATACAATGCAATGCAGAAAACCAATGTATAATACACCGGCACACTGCACAACATTAGCAGCTATAGAGGAACAGCAAATCCCAGCAATAATACATTATACAGGCTGTTTAATGTATTCTTGCAGGGATTTGGTGTTCCTCTATAGCTACTAATGTTCTGCAGTGTGCCGTTTTAAAAAAAAAACACAACACACAGGAAACATTAAAAAGCTCCCGGCCGATCTCGACTTACCTTGAATGACGGTGTTGTCGGCGGGCAGCGGCGTTGTTCGTTCTCGGCGGGCAGCGGCGAGTTGGGAAGCTCACCGGGAGGAGAGGGCCAGACGCATGTCCTCAGCGTGGCGCGGCTTCGCATGACACCAGTGTAGGCGCGAGCGGCTTAACTGACGTGGGCGTGGCGTTAGCGGCGGGCGTGAGCGGCGATCGGGAAATTTGAATTTTAGCCGACGAATCGACGATGGAAAACGTTGGCAACGTTTTCCATCGCCGATTTTAATCGACTTAATCGAATAATTGTTGCAGCTCTAGATGTAAATGGCTTTATATATGCATGTGTTTAGCTTTGCCCTGCGGCCTTTTTACATGAATGAGGACTGCATTATCTGCAGGCAGTGTTACTTGCTAGGTTGGCCCCCTCACAGCTGACGTGTTCATTGAAATGCCTGCCAAGCATGGTACAGGTGTTGGATGTGATTTATGTCCAGTACCTGTGTGTACATAGATTATACCTGTATAGTAAATACATGTATACAGTATAAAAATCTTTTTCCTGTATCTTCACTGCTGGGATGGATGTGTCAATGTGAATTTCGTGCTGGTTGCTTACACCTGCCCACATTCAGCAGTGGCAAAGCAGGCTGCCAATACTCCTCAACCACATCAGCATTCCTCCTGGCTAATACTTTGTATAGTTCTGGAAACATGGAACCTATACAAAGTGTTAGCCAGGAGGAATGCTGATGTGGTTCAGGAGTTTCCTGGGTGCCACCATGATGACCTTAGATGCCAATGAGGCACCATAATGATTGTACTTCTACAGTACATCTGGACAGACTTTCCTGAGAGCAACAGAGGCTGCTACTGCTGACCTCCTTCTGTAAATGATAGTTGACGGGCTATATAGCTCATAAATACTTTTTGTCCCTGACCTTGAGCAAGCATGCAGATCAGGAAAGTCAGAGTAAAGTCAGCAGACCTGATATGCTTTCTTATTCTGGGTCAGTGATTAAAAAAAATATTGAAGTCAATGGATCAGAATAATATCCAGGAAACTAACAATTGCAAAGTGAGCTAGGGCAGTCCCCATGTTTGTTTTAGGAAGGGGCTCTTTTAATCAACAAAAAAGTGCCGTATATAGTCCTGTATTTAAACGTGCAAGTTGTTGGAAGGAACCACCGAGCACAGAGAGGTACACACGTATCAAATCTCCTGGAAGTATTGCTTTCTAAGCAGACTTCAGAGGTAGAGTTCTCTCTAATGAAGCGAGGGTTAGCAGCAAGGCTGCAGTAGAGGTAAGTATTTACGCTCTTCCAGGGGTGCGGAATTCGTATCGCCCTACGCCTGAGACATGCAGTGCTGGGCGGGTAGCTTTTTTTCTACATTTAGCCCTGCTGCGGGCTAGCAGAGCTAAATGTAGATCGAAGCATTTGCCAGTTATTTAGTACAAGTGATCTCGGATCACTTGTATAAAATAAGCAGCCATCTTCTCCGCCACCTGTCTCCGCTGTCAGAAACTGCACAGAAGACCTGTTTGGTTTTGGAGGGCAGGTTCCATAAAGAGAACCTGTCACCCCCAAACTATCACATAGGGGCTTGTAAGCCATTGTGTGATAGGGATAAAATTAAATGGGGAAAAAAATGAGAAAAGCAAAAAATAATAAAATGTAAAAAAAATTAAACCAACCTTGCCACCCCCACCATCCGCATGCAAGTAAACGTATACGTAGGACATGTGTGTGTGCGCATTGAGTGCTGCCACCATCCCACTGTGTGCCATATTGTGGTAGCCAGGCAGCAGCGTGCTCTAGCATGCACAATGTGCATTAATAGGTAGGTTCACTTTCCCAGGTAATTTGGGAAAATGGAATTACCCGATCTGGCCCCGTCTCTCTGATTGGTACAATCTCCTTTAGATCTACCAACAACTATGTAGTGCAGTGTCCTGCCTGATTGGATGCAGAGTGATTGGATAGACTAGCCAGGTCCTCATACTACATAGATTTTGGTAAATCTTAAGTTGATTGTACAGAGATTGTACGGTCAGATCGTAAAGTGAGTGGAGACCCTAAGACAGCGGAGCAGTTGTCCCCATTGGAAGATTTACCCTCTGTCTGGTGGAAACTCATAATTTTGGATTTCCTATCACTTTATGTCCTGGTGACTGGGATAAATAGAGAGAATTAATCTTCTTAGTGTGGACACAGCAATACAAACAATGTTCATAATTAGGTAAAAGTGCACTTTTCCTTTAAGGGAATATTATGTTTGTGTTCTGGTCCTGGTACATTTTTATTGATGCCCAGCAGAGCGCACATACTTTTTTAGAATTCTGGTTTTGTTTCTGGTGTAGTTTTTATATAAAGAAAACAAATAATTATGATGCAAAGCCATCTGCCTGCTTTTTATAGTTTCTCAGATTGCCGTCAGAATCGTTTGTTTGCAATTAAACTTTCCTCAATCTCTGTCTTTACCACTGAGCGTTCTTGATGAAGCAGGCTACAGATCTTTTAAAAGGTAGGCACACAGCCAAATGTAAGGAAAGCCATGAAATCAATTCCTGTGTCCCTCTGATTCCAAATGGATCCTAGGCCCAGGCTGTATACAAGTCCTTGACTTTACTACAAGTCAAGACTAAGCCCTGTCCCCTCCCAGCACTAAGTACTTTTCACTGTTCTTTAAAGTGACACTAAACTCAGGATTTAAATCTTAAAAACATATTCAAGTACCTTACATTTTTGTAATAGTTATCTTATTTGTATATCACTTGGCTGTAGATCCTCAAATCATCTCTGAATTGGTGCTGACACTGTCCTTCCTTCTGGAAGGTTGTTACTATTGTTCCCCATGATCCCTGTGTTTAGGTCAGGTCCTACATTCTTTTACAGTTCTTGGCTTTTACATGAACTCAAAGCTGTAACAAAATGTTCATTTGCAGCAACACCTGCTTGCAAAATCTGACATCGCTACATAATTATAAAATATAGCGATCCGCTATTCAGGCTGTTGTACTTTTAGGGCCCATTCACACCACATCCAGGTCATCTGCAGACCAGACCAGATTGTTTCCGGATCCAAAATGCATCCCAATGTATCCCTATGCTATTTCTGGCCTCTGTTTACACCAGCGCAGTCCGTTCCAGCTTAGACCAGAAAAATACTGCATGTCTCATTTTTGTCTGGTCTGGAATGCACTGGAACTGCGGGCATGTTCACACCATTTTCCGGACCAGATCTGGTCCGGAAAATGGTGTGAACCTGCACTTAAGGTAGAACTGCACACCATGGCTATTGCGCCAGCTTTTTATGCAAAGGGGTTGTTTAGGTTTAGTAGATCTGTTACACTAAGACCGTCCCCTGTTGGTGGGGTAGCTCTATGGACATGTATTTCTTTTTTTTGTTTTGTTTTTGTTCTGAAATGTGTAAATGGCGTTTTTCAGTCATCAGAGTTTTTCCTTCTAATATTGTCAAACACTGGAAGTAAAATACCTTAATTGGTTATTTCAATAGTTCCTCTGCTGCTTTTCCAGGAGAATGGTCTTCTTATTTAAAGAATAACTTTGTATTGATTTTTATTGGGTCATATAACTATGACTAATTCCTCTAGTAATTTATTAACATGAATTATGTGTTCTCTTTGTAGGTAAAGATCATGTATGTCGCTTCATAGGATGTGGAAGGAACGATCGATTTAACTATGTAGTAATGCAGTTGCAGGTATGAAAAAAAAAAAATCGAATGGTTCTCATTTATGCATTATCATTCACTTTCAATTGAATTATCAATTACAATGTTGGAATATTGTTAAGAAAAAAGACTCTTCAGCATCATTTACCAAGGAGAAACGGCTCTGGAATTAGTCCATTTTGGACTACACTGCCACTGGTCAAGAGTGAAAATCCTAAGTAGATGCATATGAACACAAAACAAATATGTAATAAAGCAATCACCTCTTCATTCAGTGTCTCCTTCCTTCTTGCACTCAAGGGTAATAGTTATTGGTGTCTGTTATACTTCTCCTATAACCATGTTTTATACAAGTTACGGGATGTTTATCCATGCTTTATCTTCACTAATTGTGCCCAATTTAAACATCAGGCGAGTGGTTTCAAGTGTGGCAAGTACAATACTCTCTTGTTCTTATTTTCACATGGGCAATCTGATCAGGTGTGGCTGTCAGTTTTTTGTTGTTGTTTTTTTAAAGCGGATCTGATCATAAGTCCAAAGTAACTCTATGGGCAGCTGCATGTAAACAGACATGCCTCCATTTAAATCTGGTTACCCCCAACTCTAGGTCCAGAAAATAAAAACAGAACAGATTTGGCGGACCTGATGATGATGGATTGGAGGTAATCCCGTGTAAACGGACACATGTCCGCTTACATCGACTTCTTATAGACTAAAGGCCCTTTTCATGCTGGCACCGTCCATTCTGATCATTCATGGATCCCCTGCTGATCGGAGCAGTATGGAATGGATTTCACCTTTGTAACGTGTGGGCGTTCAGTTGTTTCCTCCATCTTGCAATGGAAGAAAAGACTGAGCCGTAAGGATCCCATGTTAGGTCTATGAGGCGTTGGATGTAAGGGTATATATGTGTGCTTACAACCGATTAACTCCAACCCGTCTCCATCAGGTCTGCCAAAATGGAACTTTTTTTTTCTGGATCAAGACTGTGTCGAGGGCCTAACTGTGTTCATCTGCAGGTTTATTTTGAGTTGTGTAAAAACCATTAAAAATGTTAAAATCGAATCAAAGCATTCTTATACTCATCACTAATACTTGATTTCTGGTTAGGCATTATTCTCTGAAGGGAGAATGTAGATTTCAGACAATTATTCTCCACAAGACAGCTCGATTAATGATCAAAGTGTCTGAAATAAAAAAAATACTACTGCTCGCACTGATCATACTTATACTTTCCGTTTCCAACTTGTCACTTTCCTGTACAGTTTGGAACAGGTTACTATATTGCAGCACAGGCAGCTCTTCTATTAGACACTGATAAAATAGACATATTGTTTTGCAGCGGCAGCCAAGCGTTATTGTATTGGTTTGGCGTCTTCAGGCTTGTATCCAGTAAAAGCTGTGGTTAGTGTTCCTAGACGAGAGGAATGAAAACTTGCTTTTAATGTATATAAAAGTTTGTTATGTGTATTTATAACCCATTTGCCCACATATGCATATAAAATAGTGCATATTGTAATTGTATATCTAATTAACCAGATTTCACATCCCCATACAGAGTTCTTATTATGGTATTGAGTATAGGGACTACATTTGATATAGTCACTGAGAAGATATTTTAATCAATGTGTCATCTTTGTTTTTTTTGGTGACTGCATTTTCGGGTTATCCCACTGAACTTTGCCTTTACAGTTCTTGCTTAATAAAAATGCTGGTCTTGTGCACGGTTATGTAACGGCTTACAAGAGAGGAATACAAAGTAGGTAGAAAGGGTATGCAAGTACAAATGGTGGGATTAAGTAATTTAGGGTTTCAGTAGACGAAGCAAAATAAATTAAATAGAAATATGTAGATATGTTGGCATACAGTGATAACTGTATGCCAACATAACGAATGTGGAAAAGGTTGCTAAAACTTTCTAGGGCTGAGATTTTCATGAAAAAAGCAGGCTGGAGGTGACCTGTGCATCGGATTGCTTCCATTTAGTTGTAAAATATTGATTGCACAGTTGCTATATTACTGGGGATTTTTTTCACACAATGGATAATCTTAGATGAGAGATTTGTTAGTAAGTACAGACCAATGTTCTTTCTGAAAGTATAATGTGTCCGTGCTCTTGTCAGTTTACAAGCTATTCTTTAATCATATTCTTTCTACAGCTTTTCGTTGTTGCTCTATATGCTTATATTGCTTCTTCAGTATACTAGCATTCGGAAGTGCTCATGTGTTAAATGGTTCTGATTTTGTCTTTTCAGGGTCGGAATCTGGCAGATCTCCGCCGCAGTCAGTCCCGGGGCACTTTTTCAATCAGCACCATGCTACGACTTGGGAGACAAATTCTGGAGGCGATCGAGAGCATTCATTCTGTAGGGTTCCTTCATAGAGACATCAAACCGGTTAGTACATGACAAGTCCTTACAGTGGAATGCCATCCTATTTTTCCCTGTGTATTCTATGCAATGAAGCGGGGTTTGATTCCCTGTGGGGTCTTCATTACTGTCCGATGGGAGAGATTCTGCAGAAATACTATTATGATGACATAGACAATATGCTGTATAATGTCACAGCACTCATACTTCGATATTTCAAAGAGAGGTGTGATGTCTCATTCACTTTTCAGCAACTTTCTCATTCAAAGCAGCAACTTTGTTGCCGCTGTAGTTAATGTGATGACATAAATTACCTTTCTTATTTTTTATGTACAGTATATTCTAGATCTGACTCTAGATCGCTGTGCTTTCTCACTCCCACTCCATGAAAAAACATCTATAGCAGCCAGAACCCAATAGGTTCTGGCAGGCTATAGAGAATATAGAATATACGTGTAAAAAAACCAGTGGTCTCTTATATCATAAATACAATAAAAAATTGCATATGAAAGATCTATCAATTAACAACTATAAATATAAAAAAAAATGTAATATATGCAATACCATAAATTACAAGTCCATCATCAAACTGTATGAGGCACTTTGCAAAGTCTGGTCACATGAGTGCAAACGCATTGCAGTAGAATCGAGAGGAGAATGCCAAAGGCTGAGAAGGTCTTGTGCTATGTGCACTGCTTTGAGTGCCTGATATTTGTATGTTTCATTGTTTGTTTTTTAATAAAATCAGTTTTTAAATGGTGTTCTAGTACTGTATATGGATTTATGTACATTCCGTACCTGTCATCACTTTTGTCTTCTCTATTGGGGATGGATTTATGCAAAAGAGAGGCTCCATCTGCCTACTTACTCACTTGTACATGACCTGTTCTAGCATTATTATTCAACTAAGAGGGTATGTATGTTTTTTTATGGGTAAAATTCACTTCTTGGTGGGGTTTAATGCATGGAATGATTGAAGAAAATTAGATGCATGGAATGTTTGGATCAACTTTGAATACAGATGTCACCAGCACGCGCGAGACTCAAGTCAGTGCAAATTAATAGATGCCACTCAGAATATCAAGCGCTTTCGGGGCCACATAGGGTCCACTTCATCAGGCTCAGAGTAGACATTGTACAGAGTAGAAATCAGGCTCAGAGTAGACAATGTCTACTCTGAGCCTGATGAAGGTGACCCTGTGTGGCCCCGAAAGTGCTTGATATTCTGAGTGGCATCTTTTAGTAAATGGATTTGCACTGACTTGAGAGTCTCGGCGTGCTTCTGTGCTGGTGACATCTGTATTCAACGTTGTTCCATGTGCTGTGCCATCCGCGGTCATTTCAAGCACCCATCAATATCTTGGGATTTCCGGTAAGGATCTATGGACATTTGGATTGTTTGGATATCGCGCTTTTGTATTGGACACATATTGCATGGTTTTATATATAATATATGATATGCGGTTTATGTATTTATCAACTGATGGATTTTCCATATGTCATTTTTATGTATTTATGATATAAGTGATTGCTGCACTAGTTATATGGTTACCTGTTATGTACCCTTCTGATGTTTGTCAATCTTCTATGGCCCTTATTAAGATGTCAGAAATATTGTTATCTTACTGTCACACTGTTATCACAGTAAGGATTCATTAGTCATAGTAATTATTATATGATATGATTACGTTGCCAGTTTTCTACTGCCCAAGTCAATATTACGATACAATACCATAGTAGGTATTGTGAAGCAACAAATATTAATATCTTTAATATGCAAAATTCCGAGGCACCCCAGTCTAAAATGTCATAGGTTTTAAGGGGGACCACACACAAGAACACACAATAAAGTGGGTTCCCCCTTCACATCGAAGTTCCCTCTTAAAATCAATTTCCCCCCCCCCTTCACATTTGGAGCCCCCCCTTTCACATCAGAAGCCTCACTTTCTATCACAATCCCCCACTTTCACATCAGAGTTCCCCTTTTACAACAGGAGCCCCTTTCACATCAGTCTCACTACCACAAAATTTTGAGGCACCCCTGAAGAGGCCAGGAGGCGCACAGTGTGCCACGTTACCCGGTTGTCCTGAGTCTCCTCTCAGAATGAACTAACACACATTTGTTAATATACAAGAATTAAATCTCCAACAATGTGTGTCAGTCTCCCAAGACAAATGTGCAGACCAGGTAACACATCTGTGTCTGCAGGTGCCCAAGGAGAGGTAAGCAACCATCAGGAATTGTAACACTTGAGCAGCTGCCAAAATGTAGAAATCATGTTTGGGTGGGCCGACCCATTAATTACAGTGTTTTCAATGACTGCGGAACATCATGTCGTATGAATTCACAATTACCGGATAAAATGTAATTGGGCTTACCATTCCTATTTTTAATCAACACTGACTTTCCACATCTGATTTTCTTTGATATTCTGATTTTTTTGGATAATTATAGCTGTTAGAATGGAAAATCTTGTTTCTTCTTTCAAAAGGCATGTAATGAAATAGTGCTAAAGTGTATGTTCTCCCAAACAATGAACTTATTTTCTCCACTTTGTTAAATATACCAGTGGAAGTTTTTTCTGATATCTGTTCAAGAAGTGAAAAGGGATCACCGTTGGTCATGTCAGAAAGCCAGTGAGCTTATATCCTCCTCTAGTGAGCTGACAATGCTTCATGGAAATCTCAAACATTATCAGCCCTGCCTGAGTTTTATATGTGGACATGAGAACACCTTTCCTCCCACGATGTGGAGACCAGGAAGGTGGGAGGTGTTCCGTAGTTCTAGCACTCTGTCGTAGGTTGACAACATTTCTATTCCTGGGTTAAAGATGCACTTTAACTTTTGCAATGAATAGCGTTTTATTAGTAGCAACATTTAAGCTAGATTTCCATTTGATTTGAATTAAGTAAGTAAAAGAAGAATGGCATAAAAAATACATACTTAGGATTTAAAAGGACCCTGACAATAGAAATACAGTAGCTGGCATTGCTCACTTGTTTAGAAGCTGCATGCTCTGGAGAGGTCGTTCTTATACTTTTATCACCACTAGGTGAGGTAATGACGTGGACCAGGCATGTACATATGAAGTATTGGACACCTAATGCATACATGCTTTTTCTGTGTTAATAACTCCTAGTTCAGTCAGGTTTGAATGTGATTGGTGGCTGTGAGGAGCTTCAAAGATGGACACTTTGATGCATTGGGGAGATGGCAGATAGCCTGTAATGGCTGTTTGGAAATGGCATTCCTGCACTAACAACTACGGGAGTGAGCAGAAAAGGTTTCCCAGCTAACCAGATTGCTGATGAGTGGTTTTGGCCTGGTGTTCCGCAAACTGAAGACCTGAGAATTTTCCATGTTTACTGGAGTTGTAATGCTTCGAGCTGATGAATGTGCGCCTTTATTGGACTATATTGTATCTGACTCTCTTCCTGTGTGTTCTCTTACAGTCAAACTTTGCAATGGGTCGGTTCCCCAGCACCTGTCGGAAATGTTTTATGCTGGATTTTGGGCTGGCGCGGCAGTTTACAAACTCCTGTGGAGATGTGCGGCCGGTATGTATGCTTTTTAATAATATAGTGTACAGGACAATGATGTGCAGGTTAGCATGCATAGGAGTCACATTATCAGTGGCCACGCAGTGGCTAAGGAAGATGCCTGCGACTCTGGAAGTAATGGTGGCAGCGATGGCGGCATCAGCAGGAGACGATGCAGGGGACAGAAGATGCTGCTTACAGCCAGGGGTGTCGTCACTGGTTGCCAGGAGCTCAGCAGGACGCCAGCAAGTGTGTCCTAGGTTGTTAAGAGCTGAGCAGAGAGATGTGTATGGCCCTTACACATCTCCCTATCTGGTCTTTACCAACCTGGGATACTGCAAACATTGTGCAGCAGAGAGGCCATGCCGCTCTTCTTGCCGTCCCCTGGAGATGCGCATTATGGCAAAAACCCTCCTACTTTAAGCGTTTGGATTTGAGCTCAATCCATGTCAGATAAATTGGCTACAGCACAGATTAAGGGGGTTGCTACATATTTACTGCATTAATAGTAGGGGTGTCCCGATACTACTTTTTCAAGACCAAGTACAAGTACTTTCCCTCCGGTACATGCTGATGCCAATTAACAATACTTTTTCTTAAAGGGACATGTGACATTTTTTCTAAAACAATACAAATTTTAGGGCAGTTTCTTTATAACTATGAAGAACTTTAACTTAAAAGATACTCCAGCTGTAGTGAAGCTACAAATCTTATCATGCTTGCCTTGCAATGCATCATGGGACTTGTAGTTCCACAACTGCTGTCCAAGGTTTTCTACCTCTGCAACAAGCTATAAGGCAGATTGCTTTGTCTATGTGTCAGGCAATGCTGCCCAATGGGACTGGTGTGAACCAATCCTTATATGCATGGGGTGGCGACAGGGCCTCTTCAATGTAAAGGGGAAAAAAATGTGCTCAGGGCTGTCTTCAGCACTAACAAATGTTTTGACATATTTCAGGCAACAGTGGGGCACATAATTGTGCTCTCTTGTTGAGCACATGTGTATACTGCAAATCTGTATGCTCCCAATCTGACTGCTGCTGTAAGAGGCTAAAAACAGGTAACATTCAGGTACTTAAACTAGTTGTGTTAAAATACATTTTGGTATTTAATTCATAGTCGCATTAATTTACTGTGTGCCTTCATTATTTGCCTGGAGTTCAGCTTTAAATTGGCATTCTAGTTTAATTGGTGCAGGTGCTTAGGAAATAGGACCTTGATGTTTTGTTGTGGGACATCATGGGTCTGAATGATACATTATGCAAAAACAAGTAGTTGTTCTATACAGATTGAACCATATGCCATCTAGCATTATTTTTACTGCGTGGTACAAAATGAAAGGGAACAGTTGGATCTTACAATGAAAATCCCTGTCTTTGAGAAAGCCATTATAAATCATCCCTGTTGACTTTAATTGTGTGTTCTGTTCACTGCTCGCATTAAAAACACCATTTAGATCTGTTTCCTGTTGGGTATAACCTGGTATTTACTAGTCCGGTGCAGTCAGATAGTTGGGGACATTGCCATATATTACCGGAGAACTGATGATGGCACCTAGTAACATAGACATTTGAAAACTTAGATCATAGCAATAGATGGCTTAGATACCTGTCTGCTACGTATCTAAGCAAGCCAGTCAGGGAAAGGTGTTGGTGTCTACCATAATTGAAAGACTATAATTTGGGCTTAATGGGCAAATATCTATGTTACTAGGTGCCTAAAGTCATCAACTGCCCAGGGCCCATGGGGATGCTAAAATAAGTTTCTGTGCTGTTTATTGTAAGTCGATTTGTAGATTTCTAAGTCTTTAGACTTTTTTTTTAAGCAGGCAGTCCGCAATCTACTGTATACACCTATTCATCTCAGTATAGGTATGCTAAGATCAACAAATGATCTTACTTGGTAAGTGTACGCACTCCCAATACCTGGAACCATCATTTCCATATTATCTCCAAAAATTGAATATGTAATTTTAATATTTAGCTTAAACACTGCATTCCAAATCCTTCCAAAATGTTTTACATTGTGCTGACTTCATCCCAAGGTACAATGAATCCACTGCCACTAATCACAAACATATAACCACTTGATATGGCCATAAGCGGAGAAATCAGGCAAACGTCATTACTTGTCTGTTGGTACCCCTAGTGGCATGTTGAAATGTCAGAATTAAGAGAACATGTTTTGCTTTGTAACAGTGATGAGAAAACCTTTTTCTTAGGTAGTAGTGATACTAAACAGAGCAAGCCTAACCTCATTACATTGATTCCAAGAACAAATCTAATTATTTGGAGCACCCTTTGCAGACTTTTGTTGTTTCCTCTGTGCTATCTTGAGCATATTGCTGCAGATGTTTTTCTGTATCTGCATGTTTCAGCCAGTTTTGTAGCTGATGACGTTTCCACATGAAAACATTTTTCTGGGCGTTAATTATATGTTTGTACTAATGAATTTCCATCTCATAAGCATTAGTGCCTGTCATCGCTGCTGTTTTGCTGTAATCAATTCTGATTGTGACTCAGACACACTCTGCATGGAGTCGGCATGTTTTTGTGGGAAAATCCTTTTAGGGATGCAGTTTCCCTCTCCTGTTCAAACACTGGGTAGATCAAGTGGTTTGAGGCTTTGGTGTGTGCTTACCTGTTGCGTGGGGGATTGGATTTAAAGCTTAACTTTTGCTTCGCTATACAGACGTCTCCAATGTGCTGTAATTGCTTACTCTGATTTCACTGCACACTGAGCTTTTAATGGTGTGCATTAGAAGCTGTGGAAAGTCACATAGTGCCCGCCTTTTTTCCTGGTTGAAAAAGGTCAAGCAACCTCTAGGCTTATCCTCCTCAGCCTTAAGGTGGCCATACACTGTGTGAAAGTTGCACAGTGGGTACCGCTGCCGGCACCTTTTCAGCTGGCATCATGCGATCAGCTGATCGAAGGAGCCACTCAGAAAATCTTCGTACGAACAGAGCTGGCAACCAATAAGCGGCCACTGTAAGAATACAAAAGAAACATTGGGGATTCCTCAATCAATGTGCTTGTAGCATTGGTGGAGGTATTTTGTTTGTTCAGCCCACAGTTCTTTTTCTATTTTTATGTCTTTGGCCTATCCCTTTCATTCATTGAATTTCAGTTATTTCTATTATGAAGGCTCTGCAACACCTATGGAGTTTAGCTAGGGTGGTCTACATACATGTTGCCTAGGAAGTCCTACACCTCCATACTGAAATTCTCTCTTTGAAGCATTTTGATATTAGAAATACTCTCAAGAGTCATCCCACTGCTTTCATCAGTGTTCTTGGGAGCAAGGTGAGGCAGGGTACCATGATAATTTCAGGAAGGTATGTACAGCTTTGTATGTATTGCATGTAGAAGCACAAAGCCCAGCGGTGAGGTCACTGGGTCTAAAATAGGTTATGTAATGAAAATGTAATTTAATATTTTCATTAACGTATTGATGGGGAGGAGGACAACGGGAAAGGCAAAATGTAAGCAGATTAAACTTCAGTTTTAAGTCCTGTTGGTTTGTATCTTTATATGCATTTATTTGTGTACACACTTGAACAAAACAAAGTGAATGTGTTACCCAAAGCAAAAGTAATGTGGCAGTTGTCATTTTTCTAGTGATGGTTAAAAGCCACCACCTATTTTGTTTCAGTAGACAATGGCACTTAAGTCCAAATGAGCTGTAAATTGTCTCTGGTATAAGGATAGAGTAGCTTGTTTTACAGTTTTTTACTACAGGACCAGCTTAAAGGTGAACTATGAGGTGAGTGCTTTTCACTCACCTCATCTCATAGTTCACCTCATAGTTCTAGCTGACCTGTGTCGGCTTAGTAGATCGGGAGGTGAGCGAACACATACTGGCGTTCGCTCACCTCTCGATCCTGTCATGGCTCTCTGCCGTGACAGTGGAGGGGCTGGATTCCCCCCTCCGATCCGCCAGCGCTGAGCCTAGGGTGACGGGAGGACGCTAGTTTGTGTCCTCCCGTTACCCTAAGGAGAACTATGGGGAAAAGCCTTAACCTCATAGTTCTCCTTTTTAAGGAAGGCACCACAGATGGTGTCTATACTTGTCATGGATGATGTCTTTGTAATGACGTTCATCCTAAATTTAGGGCCTTCACAAGTATGTTTACCTCCAATATTTCTTGATACATAGTGTACCTAATCAATAAAGAAACTAACTAGCATTCATCATAATTCTTCCTTTGTAATTGCTGGAGACTTAAGTAATACCTCCAGATAGCCAATAAAAGCCATTTCTAAACCTCTTCTGGATACCTTTAGAACAGTGGGGAGCTCTGAATAGTACAATGGCATGTTGGTATGCTTTTCATTCTGATTAGATTGTCAATTATGATTTAGTAGCTGAAGCTGTGGAAAAGCAAGCAGTAGACATATGCAAAAACATAGAAAAAAAGATAATTACTATCCTGTGTCTCGGTCACGTGCTCCCGTCCGAAGTTCTGAAGATTCTCCGGCGGCCGTGAAGGATCATGGGGCAAGCCCATGCACACTAGAGATGTTCGGCCGGGAGAAGAGGAGAGACACAGTGTAATGCACGTAGCCTGGCAGCATTCACCCACCAGACTTCGTGGGAAACCGAATACACAGCGGTCAGCGCTGGAATAGGGACCGGTACCAGCACTGGAGGGACTCCTGGAAACTACTGGAAAGAAGATGATCAGCTCAAGGGGCATCATTTAAGGTAAGTCCTTCACCAGGATATTGGGGGGGGAGAAGAAATTTGACTGTCACTTTTAAAGCTTCTTTTTCAGACACTTCTTGCTATTTGGTGACCACTGTCTTCCAGCTGTGCTTTTGCATTGTTTCCCTGCCTTATTTTCCCCTGATGAAGAATACAATTGACCATGCTGACACATATTGTGCAACAGTGGTCCACTGTTGATGCTGGAGTCAGTACATATAGATAAGAATTTGCAGAAAGAGGCTGGTGAACAACAGCATCCAGTTCAGGTTTACAACTTCCATATACTGAAAAATAAAGACTCAATATGGGAGAAAGTAGGGAAATCTAAAGAGTATTATGTGTACATTTCTTGTTTGTGGTTAGTAAAATCTGTGATACTGTTACAGCCGTTTTGCAGATGCTTTTACAGCAATTGCCTCAGACACTTACTTGAACACAGAATAGTTGTTTCCTTAATATTGGTACTTTATGTGATGTATCCATTCTTTTTCTCCTGTAGCCTCGGACTGTAGCTGGGTTCCGTGGAACAGTTAGGTATGCTTCTGTCAATGCACATAGGAACCGGGTAAGTGGTCTCAACTAATTTGGTACTTATTAAAAAAAATAGCACATCACTATAGTAATATAATGTTATTAACCTTTAAGTCTCTGGGAATACTGGTGAGCATTAAATGTAGCTATAACTGGGTAGGTACAGTTACTACAGGTCATATAGTGATGTGTAGCAGGGTACTATTCAAAGCCATGTGAGACTATCTATCGATAAGATTGAGTAGCCGGCTTAGAAAATCATAGGCTTGCATATAGACCTTCTGTCCGTGCTGTCAGTAGTACCTAAAGGGAAAAAGGGCACAAAGACTTCAGACAAAGTGACTTTGTTTTAATTACAGTACAATAATTACAATTCAATAATTTGTGACTTTTTTAATAATCGTGGGTTTGCAATTAATACAGTAGTGAATTATTTTTGCTTTGTGTGCCGGAGATCCAAAGACTGAAAACCTTTGAAATGTCTCATTACGGAATCCTCCTGATACCTCTTATAGGCAGAGCAGAAAAAGCACACATGCTTGGAAAGGAATGATAAAGTGCCCTCTCCAGCAGCATTTACATTATTTACCTACCTTTCATTCCCCATGCTGCTCTGTTCACTTGCCTGTGTAAGTTTTGGGTTTCTGGGGTTGAAGCTTGGACAGGGCTGTTGATTCCCTTAGTAATGGGGCTGATTGGCCCATTGAAAGCTGACATGATTCCCTATAACTGGAGGTACCACGTATAGCCTTGGCTCCCGGCACTGAACTGAGCAGCGAGGGAAACGTAACTAAATGCTTGGGGTATGGAGGGGAGTAAAGGAAAGGTTTTTTTTTTCTTTACCCTAAATGGGTAACTACATGTCCAACTACATGTGGAATTATGTATCTTTCTGCATTTTTTGATCCACGCAAAATGCATTATCACATTGATGAAAAATGCAAAGTCATGCATGATAATTCATTGGTGGCTGTAAATCTGTCATGCTACATTTTAATCATTTCATTAGTTTCCTTCTGAAACACTGCAGTTAGTTTGAAATAGTATATTTATGACTGGGTTTCTGAACAAAACAAATGCTTGGTTGTTATGGCTATAGACCTAAATGTCTATACCATAAAGCCATTTTACTCTTAGATTATATGAGCTGTGTCTGTACTGATGCAGTATTTTTAGATTTTGTGTTGCATTGTACAGATGTTTGATTTTTTTTTTCCCCCCAGAATTATAGCAATCATTATAAAGATGTCTGAGCAAATGTCTCTATTAATTCCTCACTTAACATTCTGTCACTGCAGGAGATGGGCCGACATGACGATCTGTGGTCCCTTTTCTACATGTTGGTTGAGTTTGTAGTTGGTCAGCTTCCTTGGCGGAAAATTAAAGATAAGGTAAATGTGCTTGATTTCCATGTTTATTTAAAAGTTTTTGTAAATGTATGAACATTATTGGAGAGCAGAACCATTGTATGCCCAAAGACCTCTTTTATATTTTGTTATACCTTTTTGAACTACTGCATTGTGCTTATCTTTGCCATAGTAACCCTATTTTTGAAAGTGGTGTGTATAAATATCTTCTGGAATCGTATCATATACTCTGTCCACTGATAAAATAGAGGGGTAAAGTTCCTTGTATGGAGTTTAAAAGTAGTCTATTGCAAAGCAAAATTCATGTGGAAAGCCTCAGCTGTGATTTCCCTGTACTGTATATCAGTGCGGTAAAAGACGTTTCACTGTCCCTATACTAAGTCTGAGAAATTTTCACACATACGTTTTGCTTGGTATGTGGTTTCCTTAGTACCATTTTGTTTTTTTACGGTTTGCACTTAGGCATTTTTGGTGGCACAGGGCTGTTCTTTTTAACTGTGCACAAGGCTCAATACCCCCTATTTACTACATGCACTGAGAAGAACACTTGTAGTGCAGAGGTATATACAGGGCTTGTTGATAACAGCTAAGACCACCCTATAAAGTGCTACAGCACAGAGCAGTTACGGAAATGCCAAGTCCGGGAATGCATGCCCTTGTATGTGAAGGATTGCTTGGTGGTTTTAATAAAATAGGATTATGAAAACTGTATGCCTCCTCCTCTGCCTTTTCAGTTCTCTTTTTTTTTTCCTTCATGACTATTGTTCTTATTTATTCTGTCTGTCCTGACAAACTGAATAGAGGTTTAGTAATGAAGTGGAAAACCAAAAAGCATGGTGAATGGCAGGTCTCACGGTATGATGTGGAGTTATAAAAAGTGTTTAGGGCATCCTAGTTAGCTCCATGCATGTGTGTCCGCACGCGCGTGCGTTGATCTAGAAGTCGGTATGTGAGCATCCATGGGGTCTCAAGGTGCTCAGGAATGTTCTTAAAATGTAAGTCCCTGTGCCTCTTGGAGCCTTCTGTTATTGCTTTTGGGTTTACCTGTCAACTTTTTGTCTAAGAGCCTTTATCCTCCCTATTTCTCGCTCTGTAGATTTTTCCTCACTTCCTGTCTGGTGATATTACTGTGACCATGACAATAATTAAAGGGAAATCTCTCTAACACCCAGAGAGACCCAGATAGTTAAAACTTGAAATAATAATATTACTTAGTTTAAAAAAAAAAAAAAGGTTTTGGTTGGACAAAAACTTTACCGTAGTTGAATATGTTTGATATTGTTCGAGTTCTAGGTGGATACTATTTGTAATGAGCTATGCTTTTCTTATATTTGCATTCTTGTATACCCTAACCACTAAATGTTTTCATAGGAACAAGTAGGCTCCATAAAGGAACGTTATGAGCATCGCCTTATGTTGAAGCACCTTCCTCCAGAGTTTTATGTGTTCTTAGAGCACATCAGCGGTTTGGATTACTTCACCAAACCAGATTATCAGGTAACATTACTTGCATACAGTTATAACTAGAGGATACTGAATAAGGACAGAAGCCAATGTCATACAAGAAACACATAGACACACACTGATATGGCTCACGTAAAACTCAATTTTCTGTGCCAATTGTTCTGTATCTGAGCTGCTTTCTTCCCGTTTCAGATATTGTGGACAGCCTATAACTATTATTGGCAAATAATACGGCTAAACTACCGAATCTGACCAGTAATTGGTACATTCACGCACACACACACCTTTTAGGCCTGGTTCAAACCTGGGCGTTTTACAGCGCGTTCCTACACTCTGTAAAACGCTCAACATGTGAAAACCAATGATTGCCTCTGGGCATGGTTCCCACCTGGGCGTTTTACAGCGCGTAGGAACGCGCTGCAAAACGCCCTACGCCCAAAGTAGTACAGGAGCTTCTTTGGGGCGTATTTGCCGCGCGTATCCATTGGAATACAGCCAGGTAGCCCTCGTAAACGCGCGTTTGTCCCACGTTTTTTTACTGCGAATCGCGGTAAAAACGCGCATATTCGATACGCCTGGGTGTAAACCCAGCCTTACAGTCAAACACAGGTCTCAAAATAACCTGTCAGTTTCTCTTATGTACTAAATATCTTTTGGTATTTACCCATTGTCTTTCTTTCTGTAGCTTCTCTTATCAGTCTTTGATAACAGCATGAAATCCTATGGCGTTGTGGAAAGTGACCCCTTTGACTGGGAGAAGAGTGGCTTGGATGGCTCCCTAACTACCACAACAACATCAACCACCCCTCAGCTTCACACTCGCCTAACCCCTGCTGCTATTGGGTATGGATCAAATCTTGCAAATAAAAATTAGCAATGCTGCAAATAAGTTTTTTTCTTGATCTAAAATAGAACGTTCATTTAGCTGCTCTGCCTTTTTTTAACTCACATTTTACTTGAATCCCTGTTACATTTTTCAATTACAAAGCACTTTCGATATAACTGGTACAGCCTGCCTTGCAGACTGGCTGGAGATAATAATTGGGAATTCCATAAACTGTTACATTTAAATAACTGCACCAGTGTACATCAAGTTGTGTTTCTTTGCGTTTTTTGGCAGTTCTGACACCTGCCAAGCTCAAAAGGGGATTTCCATTTTCAAGAAAATACATTTCCTGGCAGTGGGATTACTTGATTCATACCCTTTGCAGTACCTTATCATTTAGCATTGCTCATGGACCCTGCCCAATATTCCAAAAAGTAAAAAAAATATCTTACATACTTGCGATATATGGCAGAATCCAGGAAGAACATATCTTATTTGCACTCTGTATAATACATTTCCTCATGAAACCATATTAGTTTACATTGCCCAGCCTGCCCTTGGCTGGTACAAAATTCCCCAGATGCTTTCAGCAGTATTGGCATCCACTAGGCCTGGTCATAGATAATAACTTTGTTTGCCTTTAGCCCTACTGCTGGCCATTATTCTATATGGCTTCACCTGATGCTTAAAGGAGAACTACGGGGTCAGGGCTTTTCCCCATAGTTCTCCTGAGGGTAATGGGAGGCACAAACTAGCTTCCTCCCGTTACCCTAAGCTCAGTATACCGCAAGCTACGGCTCGCGTTATACTGAGACGCCGCAGCCGGGACGGATCCAGACAATAGTGTTGCGATCCACCCAACTACGGCAGAGCCAGCTGTGCCCGCCCCCTCCCCCGTCTGTTCCGCCAGTCAGCGCTGGGGGATCGGACGGGGGGGGGGGAAATCCCTGCAGGGGGCCATGAGTGACAGTCATGGCTCTCTGCAGGGATAGATCGAGAAGTGAGCGAGCGATGCTATGTGTTCGCTCACTTCCCGATCTATTGAGCCGACCTGTGACAGTTTCATTGTCACAGGTCGGCTAGATCTATGAAACTGGGTGATTTTCACTTGCCTCGTAGTTCTCCTTTCAACCAGGAGAGAGTACCAGACAGCAGGAACACTCTGCAGACTCTGGGAAGGCCAGGCAAACCTGATTTTTGTGTGTGTCATTGACGTAAAAATTGGTAAGTACCTTATTTGTTTCCCAATTATTGAGTGACACAGAAATTCAGAGACTGTCAGATTATACTGACACCCACAGGAGAATTGGACTTTTACAAACAAAAAAAATTGTGGCCAGCCCCGTATAGCACATCCTACTCCCAGAAAGCCTCTTTTGCTAGTGTCCGAGGAGAATGGATGTATTTTCTCTGCACTGTTGAGAAAAGTCGAACCTTTTCTGCTAAGTACTTTCATACCTGCTGCATTGGCCTTTCCTACCTGAGTTTAAGTGCCTTGCCAGGACCCTGCTAGACTGGGCATGTGGGGCTAGCCTGGAACGTGTGCCTGGGCTCGGCATTGTGGTTCTTTCCAGATCAGCGTTTACTCTGTTTGTTTTAGCTTTACCCTTTCTCCTGCTACCCAGAAGACAGGTACATTATTATGAGTCCTAGCCTCGTACCCTGTGCTACATTGCTTTCTGCCCTGAGGTACAACATGTCTGAACCTAGACAAAAGGCCTCACTGTATTGAATGCTCTAGCTGACATTTTTCTAATGGCTCCAGTACCTGAAGGGTCCCCCTTGAGGTACCAGACACTGACAGCCTGGTATTTTGCCTTCTGTTTGCGTCTATGCTGCCGTCAGTTTCTTCCTTAGCCCTTTTAGGCATGTCCCCTTCTTGGTTCTATCCTGGGAGGATTTCACAACAGTTATGCTGCCAGATAGCAAATTGAATTGCTTACGCTGATCACAGAGGATACAAGCATGCTTCCACCCCTGCAGAATCCTGATCTGATTTGCACACCGAGTTCCACCCTTTCCTGCCAAGTTGCACTGTGCTAGACATGCGAGTGCCTCTTGGGCTTTTTGGCATCTAGCAACGGTTTTCCAAGGGCTACCACCTGATCATCTGTTCGCATGTTCTCTAAGTTTTACCAGGTGGATTTTCAGGACTCTTTTGAGGCCAGCTTGGGGCACAAGACCCTTTACATGGCTCTTTCAGCTGCAGGCAGTCTCAATTTCTTTGTTTTTGTGGGCCTGTTAGTGTTTGTTTTTTGTTTTCTTTTGGGTCTTGCCCATTACGCAGCAGGACTGCTTTTAAACGTCCCAACAGTCTCTGAATTTCTATGTCTATCAATGAATGAGTCAGAAAAAGGGTTTTCTGTACTCCCCATAAAATTCATATCTTGGAGTTCATTGAGGAACACAGGTCCCACCATTCTGTGTCTATGCATGCTGGGCGTAGAAGGGGTTATACTGAGCTGCCACAATTTGTTTGTGTTTGCCATTGTCCAATTCTCCTGTAGGCAACAGTATAACCCATCAGTCTCTGAATTCCTGCATTCCTCCAATGAACGCCAAGGAATGTATTTTACGTTAAATACAAAAATGCCATCTTTTTTTTATCGAGTTAGATCCCCTGTGTCATGGTACTTGTTTAGTAATAAAGGTTTACAACATAGCTACATAATTAGGTGGCATTTTAACTCTCAATTATTAGTGATTATTCTCTCTACATTTTGCTGTTTAGTAATCCTGTGGAAGAGGATTTTAATTTCTAGCAGCTGCAATCTTTGTTTCTCTTGATAGCACTAAGAGAATTATGCGTAGCTTAAATTGAACCATGCAGGGCAAAGCAACAGGTTTTATTTTAATGCCAACTACTTCTTTTAGCTGTTGGAACCAAAAAGCGAAGAAAAATATAGCATGGTATGGGGTAGCATTTGACTTCTCCTATGTAACAGCGCTGGGGCTTGGCGATTGTCCAATTGGGAACCCTGTGCTATCACGCAAGTGGTGGGTGCTGTTTGGGCTGTGTAAGCTCCAAGTCATGATTTGGAGCTAAACACTATATTTTATGTTTTCTCCAGTTTGGTTGAAGGTAAGGTACATACAATCGTCACCAAAAATATTGGCACTGCTGCATTTGTCAGATAATGCACCACTTCATGCAGAAAATTGTTGCAATTACAAATGTTTAGGCATTCTCATGTTTATTTCTTTTGTTTGTATTGGTATGACACAAAAAACGTGGAGGAAAAAAACCCCAAATCTGACACCTTCCACACAAAACTCCAAAAATGGACTGGACAAAATTATTGGCACCTTCTCCAAATTGCAAGAAATAATTGCATTCCAAGTTTTTGTGGAAAAGCATGGACAATCTCAAAATTACAAGTCTATCTCCAGAGATCCTAATGTTCCTGTGTTCACTGTGTCAAGAGGTTTACAGCCCATGACACTGTAGCTAATCTCCCTGGAGGTGGACATAAGAGAACAATTGATCAAAGATGGCAGCTTAGGATTGTTGGAATGGTGGATAAATACCCTCGATCATCTTCCAGACAAATTCAAGCTGACCTTCAGACACGGGGTACAACTGTCAGCTCGCACTATACGTCGCCATCTGAATGAAAAGGGACTAAATGGTAGGAGACCCAGGAGGACCCCAGTGCTGACACAGAAACATAAAAAAGCCAGATTTGAGTTTGTCAAAACTTAAATGAGGAAGCCAAAATCCTTTTGGGAGAATGTGCTGTGGACAGACGAAACAAAATTACAGCTTTTTGGTAAAGCCCATAGTTCTACTGTTTTCTGAAAAAGAAATTAGGCCTTTTAAATAAAAAAATACAGCCCTACAGTCAAACATGGAGGTTCACTGATGTTTTGGAGTGGCTTTGCTGCTTCAGGCACTGGATGTCTTGACTGTCTGCATGGCATTATGAAATCTGAAGACTACCAAAGATTCTGGGGTGCAATGTAGGGCCCAGTGTCAGAAAGTTGGGTCTCCGTCAGAGGTCATGGGTCTTACAGCAGGACAATGACCCAAAGCACACATCAAAAAGCACCCAGAAATGGTTTCAAAGAGGTGGAGAGATCTAAATCCCATAGAGCACCTGTGGAGAGATCTCAGAACAGCAGTTGGGAAAAGGAACCCTTCCAATCTGAGAGACCTGGAGCAGTTGGGGAAAGAAGAGTGGTCCAAAATTCCTATAGAGAGGTGTAAGAAACTCATTGATGGTTACAGGAAGCCATTGATTTCAGTTATTTTTTCCAAGGGCTGTGCTACCAAATATTAATTGAGGGTGGTAATAATTTTGTCCAGTCCATTTTTGGAGCTTTGCGTGGAATGGGTCAGATTTGGCTTTTTTTTGTCGCAATGCCTGTATGTGCAGCTGATAGAGCTGTCTTTAAAGTGAACTGCTGGACAAAGTTCAGGTTCATGTTCAATATTAAATTGGATAATCTCCCCATGGGATAATGAGCACCTCCAACTGCCTGAGGACTGCATTTTCTCTGTAAATGTGAAGATACATTTCCTAATAATAGCGAGTGATGCTCAGAATCAAGCCTTCTATATTACCCTATTTTAAAAAACTACGCTTCTTGTGCCTTCTTAGCTGATATCCCCCCTCATAACTGTCAGTATTAGTAATCCTGGCTTATCTTTCAGGATTGCAAATGCCATACCTGGAGACCTGCTGCGTGAGAACACAGATGAAGTGTTTCAGGATGAACAACTCAGCGATGGCGAGAATGGAATTCCAATGATGGTCTCCCCTGAAAGGATACCTGGATCACCCAGTCATCAGCGCCCCCAGGAGAGGGATGTTTGGGAAGAAATGGATGCCAACAGGAATAAGATTAAAATGGGACTGTGCAAGGTACTTTCACTTAAATCAATGGTCCAGTTGTCACGAGTTTCCAAAACACATAGCAGAGGTAACACGCCTTTTTTTAAACTGGGACTTTACTTTCAGATGCACTTTCGGAAAACAAAAACAAAACATTTAATAAAATTAAAAGCTCATTGAAAAGTTTGTACACTTTACACTGCCATGTAGTGAAAATTGTCCGAACCTCTCTTACTGATCTGTATGCAGTCTTTGGTTTTGCATGTCTAATATACTACAGGGATGCACCGATACTAAGTACCGTACTCGGTACAAGTACAGATACTTTTCGAGCTCCAAGACTAGAGAAAAATTCAAACTTTAGGAGGCAGCTGTCATTTGTAAGGAGCACGCGGAGCTCCTGGGATTTGTACATCTCTGTTAGATATCTATATAGATTTATATATATATATAAAGATGCACCGATAACATTTTGCAAGTACTCACAGATACAATTACTGATACATTTTTGTTGTCATGTGACAGTTTTTCTAAAACAATTCAGACTAATGATTTCAGGACAGTGGTGGAGCGCCAGAGCCAGGTCCCAGCTGCAACCCTGGTAGTTTTCATGAAAATGCCAAGTATCGGCTCTGGTATCTGAACTGGTATCGGTGCATCCCTGATATACTATAAACCAGGACATCCATAAAGAATGCCAGCTAAAACAAACTACCTAGTTTCGGATGGAAGATGAATTGCAGAAATATACAGTACATCATTTAGCCTTTTTCTAAATTCTCTGTTCATCCTCCTTTTACTATTTTATTGCGCTGCTGTTGTGTTTTAATATATCACATTAGCTTCAGCGAGCATTGAACATGAAGGCGGAATGGCTTGGGAATCTGAGCAGAGTAGAAATCGAATCTACAGGCTAGAAACAAAGTCGTATATTGAATAGCTGTTAACCTTATTAACATACTGTACACCTAAAGTTTAATAGTTTTGATTGGGAGTTCTTCCTTTTATTTTCTCTACAAATTTGTTTTGTTCTTAGGCTGCTACTGAGGAAGAACATAGTAATGGCCAGGCAAATGGTTTACATAATGCTCCAAGTCTTGGCTCTCCTGTGCGCGTAACCACACAAGATGTCCCCCTTCTGCGTAAGCTACGCAACATACACAGCTTTGAACTGGAGAAGAGAATGACTTTAGAATCAAAACCTGATGCTGACAAGTTCTTGGAGAACTGGTAAGATAACTTCTCGGAGTTAGCTTTCAGTTACAGCATGGATGGACAAATTGATATAAACCTAATGTAAACTAAACCCAAAGGCTTCAGTGTTATCTCTTACAACTACTTCTATCTCCATTAGAGACAAAAATATTGTACCACAGGACTTTTAAGGTGTCATTGAACAAGATATATAATCGATAAAACATCAATTTTGAATCTAGAAACATCCATAAGGGCGTTATGATACCAACACAGGACAGATTTAGTCCCTGTTCACAGCTGGGCGTTTTGACACTCAAAGCCAAGTGCGACAAAACTATCAACACTAGAAATCCCATTAATTTCTATGGTCCCTGATCACACCTGAATGTTTTGTCGCAAGTTGTAAAACGCAGAACGCTGGCAAAGGTACATGAGCTTTGTTCGGGCACATTACAGCATGTTTGACAGCATAGACATCAATGGAAGCACATTAACACGCGCGACACAAGCGTTTTGCACATTTTTGTGCGGGTTTCCTCATTCACAGCAATGCATTTTGATCTGCTCAATAAAACATGTGTCTTTGTCTATGACTGTAAAAATTTGCAAAACGCGCAAACCATTCTAGGGGAAAGACTTACGTGAAGATGCGCATTTTACACATGGAAACGATGACGCCTAGGTGTGAATGGAGACTTGGATGCAACATGTGCACCCACACGTCTACAATTTGCTGTATAGCTTATATGTTCATGCTCTTGTTTTCCCCATCTTCGCTAACAGCATGGATGAGGGAATTCCCTCTCGCTGGTCTATGGTATTCTGACAGCAGTGGATGTGCATCTGTCAGAATAACCGAACAGTTCAGCCCAAAAATGTTGCAGCTTCTACAAAAAATGTCTATTAAAAATCAACTTTTGTTGACAACGGTGGGGGTAGAGGTGGAAGTGGGGTACCGATGAGGTCACACACACACACACACAGGCCAAATTTCAGCCGAGTCAGCAGGACTCAGCCAAAATTCGGCCATGGCGTAAGCAACTTAAGTCTGTAAGTCACCTGAATGGTTGATAAACAATGCATTCCCTGTGCAGCTAATATGTTACTAAACTGGAGACTTCTCAGTAGGTGGGGGGTTTGGCCACCAGCAGGGGCCGCCCCTAGGCTGTAATTGGTCTTTAGTTTTTTTGTGCCTAGCGTCCTTCTCCTGCAGGTGGCGATATTACCCTACAGTACATGATCTCCGATCTGTTCCCTGTGTCCTTCAATGAACGGAGAGAAAAGGATTTTACGGTGAGTACCAAAATCCTATTATCTCAAGTTGTTAGAGTATTTATAGCCCAAACCTTTTTTTAAATTTTAGATAGAGTAGGCAAGGGTTTCCCTTCACCTTCTGTCTTAGAGATACTACAGAAAGTGAGAGGAAATCTCCCCAAATTGAACCAAAAAGTTACTGGAACCTTTGTCCCCATTGGAAGATTTCCCCTCACCTGCTTTCAGGACAGCTCTAAAATAATGGATTTTCACTTACTTTGTCTCTGTAACAAAGGTTATAAGGACAAATTAAGATGATAAATCTGAGCAACCAGGAAAAAAGAGGGCAATCAAAATTTAGCAAATCGTCTAATCCTTCCCTACTCTATCTAGAAAATAGTTTCCCTCTACGTACAGGTGATCGAGTCAAATACAGATCCCCCTCTGGTGGCTAATCTGCAAATTATTTCAAAGTCTCATCAAAAATGACTTTGAAGGAAAACACTGTAATAATAACTCATGTATGTGTTATTCAGTATGAGTTTCCATCATTTTTAAATTTATTGACAGAAGTGTATATTTTGGGCAACAAGTATATACTTTGGCACACTGTTTTAATAAATGGCCTGCTTATTTTTCTTATAAGCTGAAAAATGGGCAAACTTTTTTTTCTTTAAATGTTTTCTATATTTTGCGTAAAAGTTGACACCTGTCATCAGCTGTCATTGTGCCTTATTCTCATTAAATGATAGCTGCTTGGTTTCTGATATTGTGAGACCAGCGCTGTCAGTGACAATGCAGTCTCAGAATTAGGAGCCCACATAGCTGACTGTTTCCAAAACACAACATAGATTAATGTTTGTTTAGCACAGGGTATTGTGCTAAGCAAGTTAATACCCTCTGCCGGCATAACGGACATATGTGTTGGCATGGTGGGTGGTCCGCAGTACAGGCTATACTCGTTAAGTGTGATCAGAACAGCAGGCTGGCTGAGTGTGCACTTCCAGCACAGTGACAGAGCTGTCATTGTTTACAATCAGAAGCCGGTGGGACAGGCTATTGTAATAGCCAATCACAGCGTTCACATGATTGGGAAGCCCGCCTCTGGCTAATATACAGATTGCATTTGACAAATGGTTAAACTGTTATCCCTTGCCAAAAGCTTTTATGCAGCTTGTCTCACATTTCACTGGAAGTGTACTTCCTTAAATCTGTGCTTCTTTGTCTGTACTTGCTACATCACTAATCGGATTCAGAATTCCCAAGCAGATTTGAATTGGATTGGCAGCTTGGTAATGCCAATTTTTTTTTTATTGGATTGGGCTTTCTTTTATGTGAGTTACAGTAAGGAGCTTGCAGTGGGTGGGCTTGACGACAGTTGTCCGGCATCACAAGCAGGTTTCTTAGATCAGCAGTTTGCTGACAAAGGGAAGTGGAGTGGACTGCTGAACTACACAGAAAAGAAAATCTGAGGTATTAGGAGGTTTCTGGAAGAAATGTTAATCATTGAGCAAGTAGGACGTGCTCCTCATATACAAATCCAGGTTTAATTTTTAGTTTTGACTGGAGTGTACCTTTTTTAAGGGATTTTCAACAAAACTGCACAAGTCTTTCACTTTCAGCTTGGATGCCTCTTTAAACCGATACAGGTTGTCTTAAGAGGTGCACCGAAATGAAAATTTCAAAACCGAAATGAAAAAAAAATGTCAGGCCGAAACCGAAAATGTTTTTCTTTCTAACGTTTTCAATTTTTTAAATATTTTATTTTATATAAACTTAATTTTTTTGTAATTAATTTTTATTTATTTTTATTACATACATTTTTTACTTTACTTTTAGGGGCTTTGAGGAAATATTGGGGGTCTAAGACCACTGATATTTCCCTTTTTTAAAATAGAAAAAGAGATTGAGGACTCTTGTGTCCTCTATTAGTGTTGCTGTTCATTCATAACATGAGGACAGAGTATGTTTACTATAACCACAATCATGAATGAACAGGAGGTGTAGATCACTTCCCATTCATTCATAATTGAGGATATACTAAACACACTATGTTCTCAATTATGTACAAACACTCAGCGATCACTGATCGCTGAATGTTTGTACCTCGCTCTCCTTCCTGACAGCTGTCACAGGAGGCTGAGCAGGGCAGTGCGGGAGGTGAGCTCGGCCTCCTGTGACAGCACTGCAAGCTGTCTCCGCGAACACCCCTCTCCCGATCTGTGACAGGAGGCTGAGTGTAGCGGTGAGGAGAGACGCTGGCCACTCGCATTGCTCGGCCGTCTGTGACGGTTTCTCTTCTTACCTGCTGGGACACAGAGCAGTGCCCAGTAGGGAGTAGAGAAAGAACGGATGCACCGCTAGGTCGGCCAGGAAATGGCACTTTCGGCATTTTGCCAAAAGTGCCATTTGCGGCCGATTTTATATTGGTGCATCTCTAGTTGTCATTCAACAACAAGCACTATGGTTGCTCGTCAGTTTTGCATTACTGTTGTGTAGCTGATTAGCGCAGCTGACTAGTTACACCAGGGTGAGAATTTATACTATGTTATAAAGAAACAACTTTGCTGACTGTATTCTTTTGAATGTATTTTTGTCTTCCAAAGTGCTGAAAAAGTTCAGAAGGAGGCACATTCAAAAGAGGGACCAGTTGTTGACGGCTCTTCTCCTTCGCCTTCTCAACCACGAAAGACACTTGTTGCTCCCGCTTCTACGCATGCCGACCATGTCTGGCATTATGATGAGTATGTGCCAGAGGGTTCTAAGCCTGGATCGGCCAGCTCTCCAGAACACTTGGATGGAATTGTAAGCAACGGGTTTGTAGCTGTGAATCTGAGCTCCTGCCGGCAGGAGGTTGACTCCAAAGAGTGGGTTATTGTAGACAAAGAGCGTGATTTGAAGGATTATGGCTCAAACGGGAATCGCAGTCAGAAAGTGACAGGGAGCCCTTCCGAAGAGGAACCAGAGGTACTTCAGGTGCTGGAAGAATCTCCACAAGATGGTCCTCCAAAACCAAGCTCATGGACATACAATAAGGATCCTAATATACCTGATCCAAGAGTTGGACTTGACATCATGGTTTCTTCAGGCGTGTGTATGGACAAACTGGATGTCATGTCGGGTGCTGCTGGCCAACTGCTTCCAGCGACACCTACAAGTCCAATGGAGGCTCAGGCTGAAGGAGCAATCACCCCGGTAAGAAACCTTTTATTCCAAATAAACAGAGTGTAAAGAATTCCCCCTCCCAACTAACATCTTTTTTTCAGGCTATGCATTTCCAGTAATGATGATTTTTTTTTGTTACATTACTGTAAGCTCAGTCACATATTGTTTGAAAGTGTGGTCACTTTTAAAAAAATGTATAACAAAAAGATTGAAGCCATTCGCCTAACAGATTTTCAGAAAATATAAAGACATGACAGACAACATTAAGTAACAATTTTGGATGTAAAATGGTAATCCTTTAAAATGTATAAAAGCACAGATGCTTTCTTATTTTTTACACCCGCTTTTAAGATAGTGATTTGCTTAATTTCACACCAGAAGCCTCCTAGTGGGATTGTAAATTTAAACCAGTGAATCCAGTAAAAAGGAGTTCAGTAGGGTGTTAGTATAAAGTGGATGGCAGGTCTACAGCAACCAATATACCATAAAGATGATCGTTACTTTCTGGATTACAGCAAATATGACTTCTTTTAAAAAAAAATTAACTTACTACGTATTGTATTAGTTGCTACAGTTAGTTAATACATTACTGCGTGATGTATTAGTTGCTGTGTTTTGACTGCCAATACCGCCCTCAGTCTTCCCGTTGGGTCAGTTGTTGCTTTTATGTCACCTTTCTCCTGTGTGGTATGGAGTTGAGTTTGCCAGGAGTCTCTGTATTTGTGGATGTGGCAGTGCAATGATGTCAGAATGGAGAGCGGAGGGCTGATGATGCTACAATCTCTGCAGTAGTATCGGCATATCTGTGTTAGGGCTGCAGTAGTATCAGCGGAGGGCCGATGACACTAAAATCTCTTCAGTAGCATCGTGGCGTTGTTGGCCCAACTTAGGAAATGAGGCCACAGCAGCACCACCGGCAGGATAAACAAGTAAATACTTTGAATGGAAGAAGATAATAAAAATAGCATATTAAGAAGTATGAAAAGTAAAGGTTAATCTTTATAAAAGGAAGTTGTTGTTTTTTTGGTTTTTTTTTTATCTTGCATGGAGTTCCACTATAAATTGTATCTATACCCCCAAAGTTTGTTTGTTTTTTCATTTTTTTTTCTACATTTTTTTCTTTTAGTTTTATGGGAATGGTTAGAATTTCTGTTGGTGAAATGTTTTCACTTCCTGTCAAAAAGGTTGTCCCCAAGATAGAAATGGGGGGAAATCTCTAACGGCAAACCAGACAAATGTAGGGGAATGCTCTGTCAGCTTTTCTTTTGTCTGTTTCCATCTTGCAGATTTTCTCTCACTTCCTGTCTGGTGAAAAGTTGTCCCTAGAACAGTAAGGGAGGTGAAATCTCTCCAACAGAGTCAGATAGCAGTAAAACCTGACATGGGTTCTAACCGCTCCCTATTCTATCTAAATCTTAAATGTTTCTGGTATAGAGACACTTTCAAATCAAATTCGAGGTAACTGCATCTTAAAGATAGTTATTGACATATTAATGTGAATTAATGATAATTGGGCAGTCTGATACAGTCATGTAAAAAGGGAAGTGCATTCCATGGAAACTTTTGACTTTTTGAACATATGTGAAGAGGTAAAAATCAGATCTGAACTCGGAACAGTGATATACTAAACAAATAACGCATACAATGCTGTATTTATTCTCATAATCTAAATTAATAAAAAATACAGATTTGGCATGTGAAAAAAGTAACCACACCCCAACATTTACTACAATTTTAAATCCATGAACTTAGAATCAGGTGTTCCAGATTAGGTGCCAATGATTACAACCTCCTTAGGAAGTATGCAGGTGGAACGTGTCTTAGTCATACCTCCACTATCAAGGGTTTGGTGTTCTCTTTGTTATATCTGTGTTAGGGCTGCATTTAACGAATCGATTAACCAATAATGAGAATAGTTGTCAACTATTCTTATCAATTAGTTGGTTAGATCCCGTAGCTCTCTCCTCCATGCTGGGAGGGAGGGCACAGCAAGCAGTGGGCGGGTGCAATAGCCAGCCTGCTATTGGCTTATGCTATTTGAAATGGCCAATAGGCTGGTTAGTACACCAGCCCACTACCCGCTGTATTTATATTCAGTTGTTGTCTGCTGAGTCTTGCCACTGGCAGCGGTCATTCCCTGGCTGAAGCTATTAAAGTGCCATGTGCTTACAATACAATTATTAAAATAAAGAAATAAAAGCCTGACAAATTTTGCTGCGGGAGGTGCGTTGCAGTGCCATTCATTTCAGTGGCACCCCAAACGCGCTTCCCACCCCCAGTGTGATTGCCTGCACTGGAGCGCACAGTACTGCAATGCTGTGCCTTTCAGTGTAGAGCAATTGCAAAAAATTGTGCATGCAGTTTTATTCTTAAGTAAACTTTGTTTTTTAGCACTGCATTTGTGTATTTTATTTTAAATTAGGGATGGCATTTAAATTTTTTTATATCCGATTAATCGAAAAAATAATCGGCCAACTAATCGATTGTAAAATAACTGAACAGTGTTGTTAGTAGGAGGTACAGGAGATGACTCTGTATTGTTGCAAACATTATGTTTTAGCACATATTCACTAGTGCGTTCAATTGGATCTTTCAGTTCTGCTGGAATAAGACAGTCTGAGTTAGTACTTTGTCCCGTTGCTTGTTCAAGGACTTTCAGTCTTGCTAGAGCACCTGTTTTTGCTATGGGGAAAATAGTTAGGCAAAAACACACTATAATAACTCTATCTAAAACAATGCTAATATTAACTGAGGCTATGCATCTCATATTCTATGCCCCGTTGGGGCGGCACAATTAGTTGCAGCCCTAATCTGTGTAGTGTCAACATGACAAGATCAAATTAGCTCTCTAGGGCCTCACCAAGCAGGGTGTGAATGCCTTAGTCTGGAAAGAGATTTAAAAAGATCTCCCAATATTTTTTTAATCAATCATTACACTGTAAGGAAAGTTATCTGTGAGTGGGGTGAATATCAAATGTTTGTTAATTTGTCCAAAGCTGGCCAGTCCAAGAGCTGACCATTTGATGCTATATAAGTCTCCAGGAGCCCAAAATTTTCTTGCAGGATCAGCAGGTTACTGTTACAAAAGTTGGTGTCAAAGTGCATACATCTACAATCAGAAATCGATTACACCAATTTAATCTGCATGGAAGTTGTGCCAGGAAAAATAATTTGCTGTACAACAAGCAAGACTACAATTTGCCATTATACAAATATGCAAAACAATGTTTGGCCACAGGAACAGTAGACCTGTTCGGCACAAACTGAAGAGAGCATTTCAGGAGATGAACCTCATACCAACTGTGAAGCATGGAAATTAAAGGTTTGGGTTTGCTTTTCTGCTTCAGGGGTTGGCAGCTTGCTGTTATTGATTTAACTATGAATTCAGAATCATATCAAAGTGTGCTTGATGAGAATGTGGGGCCATTTTTCCAAAAGTTCAAGTGGGCATGGATTTTTCAGCATAATGATCCAAAGCACAGTGGCAAATATACAAAGGAATGGCCTAAAAGGAAAAAACAAAAAGGAGGGTTACAGACTGGCCTAGTCAAAGCCCCTGATTTCAATCCCAATGAAGTGTTTTGGAAAGGGTTATTTAAAACTGGCAAATCATGCAAGGAAACCAACAAATTTGTTGCAATTAAAGGGATTTTTCATGGAGTGGGTAACATTTTCACCTAGTCCATGTCCGTGACTGGTGGGCAGTTATGAAAAATGCAGTCATTTATGCTACCGAGACAATATCGGCTTCTGAGGCCAAGGGAGTACTTTTTCCAGTGTACACATTTACGTCTATTGATATTAGGGGTGCACTGATGCTAGTATCGGTATCAGTGCCGATACCGAGTATTTGGGCGAGTACTTGTTGGTTTCCTTGCATGATCTGCCAGTTTCAAATACCCCTTTCCAAAACACTTCATTGATATATTGATTATATTTGTTAAATAATTGAAAAGGCAAATATTTCCTGGGGTTTTGTTCAACTATATCACCTTTATCTGTAGACATTGTTTAAATACATTTTTTAATGTTTGCCTGCTCAAATACATTGAAAAAGTCAACAATTTCCATGGGGTGTACTCAGATTTTAACATGACTGTCTGAAAGATTGCAGATAATTGAAGCTTCCTTGTGTCCTTATTATCTCTGGCATTTGTTTTTGTTCATGGTTAAGAATGCTTGGATTTCATGCCTTCATTTTATTGAGTAGAACTTCGAGGAAATGCAAACACAGCCCTGCATCCATGACTAGTGCTACAGCTCATGGCATTCACAAGCATTATTTATTTGTTTTTTTCTCCTCCCCCTCATGGCATATTCACAGCTTGATGCTTCCCACATCCTGTTTTCCGCTACCTCAAGACCTCCTAGCAGTCCCATGCGCTTCACAAGCCCTGTAACATCCCAGTTGGGTCGCACAGAGTCTCCACCCAAGAGAGAGATTGGCATCCCCAAGAGTCAGTCAGCCGAAAGCTACTCTTCCTCCTCCCGTTCTGTTGGCCGCAGGAAGCTTCCGGTCACTCCCCATTGTGGCACAAAGTACCCCTCTGTAATTCGAATATCAAAATCCCAGGTGAATTACTTATGTCCATAAGTCATCATGTGTCTATCCATCTTAGTTTGTGTCCTCACTATTAACAGTAAAACATATTTGTCCCAAAATTAAATCTTAAGGCTCCACAAGGAGCAGAGAAAATATAATTTTATATGTGACATTTTGAAGTTGTAACTAATACATTATAATAACCAGAAGGATTTTGTCCCATTGACCATTTTCTAGAATTAAAAGTAGATCTTGCTGTGTTGTAATGCCATGCACCACAGGAAACAGCTAGGGCTGAAAGCCAAATGGCCGATACAGTACTTTCATAGTAGACATATGCTTTACCAACCAATTGGATATAAGGAGAAATCTCAGTTTAGTTATTACAAAATGCTAATGATTGGTCAATGGCACAACATCTGATAGTTCTGCCCACTAACAATAGGCCAGCTTAAAATTGTTCTGGGTTTTCAGGTCCATGCCAATTGGCGAGACTTTTCGTAGCGTACTGATCATGAGGCCTGTGTGTTCATGTCAAATAGGTAAGCTGTATCAGATATTGATGCAGACTAACTATACATATAAAATTTAGCAAGGGACTACTCTGATCCATAGATAACTCAATTGCAGTGTTCCAGCACTTGCATGAATGTCAATTCTGATTGGAAAGCAGAGCGACTAAATTCTATCAAAATGATTACTTAATTCGGATTGTTTAGATAATTTCGAAACAACTTGTTAAACATGCAGTGGAGAAAAATAAAAATAATTGGGAAATTATTCAGATACAATATTTTTTTTTAGCAATATCCTCTTCCATTCTTTATCTAGAGTTTTTCTACTAATATTTACCTTTTTAGAGCTTTATCCTTTAAAGCTTTCTTTCTAGACCTCATTGTATAGACTGTTAGAAAACACCTTTCCCATTACCAAAACCAGCTTTGCACTGGCCACAGAATCTAGTTACTGCATCTTGAGCTGCATGTGAAATTCCTCCCTTTGTCCCTGTTTAAAGCTTTCATGTTATGTGTTCAGTGCTGCAAACTGCATGCTCCACCTCCATATAGCATGCTATTCCATCCAGTGCTTATTGCAGTGGTTACAGGTTTTGAAGAAGTGATTTTGGTTCCTGATCAGTGTGGTTTGGTGTCGTGATCATAATACACTGGCGTCATTTTTGTAACTGCTAAGAATGGTTTTGTGTGATGAGATTACGACTCCTTTCACAGGTAATGTGTTTCTAAATGTGCTTTGTCTTGAAAAGTAGAATACATAATATGCTCTAATTTAATATCAATATACTGTACCTAATACTGAGAGATACAGATACAAGTCAGACGTTTTTCCTCGCACTCCATGCCAACCATCCCAGTCTATACTTTGTCTGTATTATAGAAATGATGCTTTCAGAGGGAAAGAGGAAACCATTAATTTATACAAAATCAATGAACCTAGCTCTCTGACCTGAGGAAACTGCCCCGGTACCAGCCTGGGAATTGGAGATACCAATAAAAATCTTTGTAAACAAAAAGTACCATACAGATACAGTTTGCAACCTTTTTATAGCATAATTGTTAGCAGAAAAGATGTAAAAATAAAATCTATCATGATTATTGCCTTTGCCCCCTGAAGATCTTGTAAAAAGATCTTGCATACCTAGGTATAACCTCCTAAGAACAGCAGAATATTTGCAGTTGATGGCCAGTTTGAGCCATGCCAGAGGCAATCAGTCTGTGTAGTGCGGAACTCTTGAGCAATGAGATGTACTTGCTGCTGCAGAAGTGTAGAAGTGCCATTGTCATAACAATTGAGGATTCAGGAGGACTTGTGAAGTGCCTGACTAGTGAGCAGTTCGTGTTTGTTTACTGTAGGCAGGTTTTTATTTTCCTGTGTTTAACTGGTCCTAGCCCATTCATACAACATCCATGTCATCTCCAGTAGGGATGCACTAGTATCGGTACCGATGCTGAGTATATGGGCGAGTACTTGTACTCGCCCAAATGGTCCGATGCCTACCCGATACTTCCGCTATCAGGAAGCTGTGCAGCGAGTCATTACACACTGCCCGGCTTCCCGATTGGCAGGGAAGCCGGCTCCAAGCTCCTTCGTCACTTGTGTGTAATGACTCGCTGCCCGGCTTCCTGATTGGTCAGGAAATCAGGCCAATCAGGAAGCCAGATGCCTGTAAGGATGCGGTGCTTGGCTCTCTGATTGGTCGTGAAGCAGGCTCCATGGTTTCTTATCACCTAGTGACAAGAAGCATGGGGACGACTTCCCTGCTAATCAGGAAACCGGGTGGCGAGTCATTACACGCTGCCTGGCTTCCTTAATGGGACTTCCGGTATCGGTTTTTGGTATCGGCGAGTACTGAGAAAAAAATACCAGTACTTGTACTCGATACTGAAATACCAATATCGCTGCATCCCTAATCTCCAGACCAGATTGTTTCTGGACCCAAAGTGTGTTGTGGAAATTTTATTAGGATGTGTTTTTAGTGTATTGTAATGTTTTGTCATTAGTCTCTCAGTGTCTCGGTTTAAATAGACACTGGGGGATTAATCCATTGGAGGAGATTTCTTATGCGCAACGGAGCTGTGTCTTGGCGAATGTATGGACGCCGGCTGGGGCCCCCCGTGCAATGCATGGATTTATTGGCTTGCGTGGATACATTTGTCTTGAACGCAGTATATGAAAGGAACGTGCGTTTGTTCTCTCTGGGGTGCCTGATCAACACGCCTGAGATGATATAACGTTGTCCTTGTGAATGAGCGCGCATGAGAATCCTAGTAACGTTATGTGGCATTGCTCACTGAGCCACGCGGGATAAAGTCACTCCGGTGGTCATTGATTGCTATTACATGTGATTTGTTAGCTGACTACTGTTCACTTCCTGTCTGACATCACTTCCTGTCTCGCTGTTTGAGACACCCCTTCCTGTCTGATATCACTTCCTGTTGGGCAGGTATAAACAATAAACATACCTGTGCTCAGGTCTCTTAGCATGGGATTATCGAGCAAGCAACATCTGTCTCCTGACTCTACATGACTCTATAGAAGGAGATACTTCCAGTCCTTGCATAAAGGAGCGTAGTACAACGGGGGAAATTCTTTGCGTTTGGCGCAGCTTAATGCGACATGGATTTGTGCGTTGAACCAAGTGAATTTCCATAACAAGTGTATCCTAATGTATCCCTCTGCTATATGCTTTTATAGCAGTCTGCATTTGTCGAGGAGATTTCCCCCTTCTTTCTGTTCTTATGCCACAACAGGAAGCAAAGAATTCTCACAAAGGTACAGGCCACAACAAAAACCTAACAGAGGTTCTAAGCTTTTCCCCTTTCTCTTCAAAAGAGGAAAATGTTTTGCCTGGAGCTCTGCTTAAATACTGTATTTACATTTATATAAGTAAATCAATATTGTGTGTGCCCATCTCTACATGTCTCCATCTGAGGCAAATGGCAGAAATAAGTTAGTTTGGTTAAATCATTTTTCAGCATTGGTTGGGAGGCATAGTTTTGGTTTTCCATCAGTATATTGAGGTTTGCTGTTCATAATGCCTAAAGACTTTTTTCTACCCCTTCTTGGGTGTCCTTACTGTTTAACACTGTCATGTAAAAGGTATTATGAAATGTGTAGAGTTAATATTCTGCCATTTGTTTGCTTATAGTAACCCAAATGGTGCCAGGGTCTATGCTATCTTATCTCTGTGCCTATACTCACGAAGGTTAAGTAAAGTAAGCAAAATGTGAACTCTGCCGTACTAAATATATCAAACCTTTTCCTGGCACAAGCAAGGCAGCTTATGGATGGGTTAACTTTGCCTTTACTGGATTGATTGCCCCATCTACCTTATACATTAAAGAACCTTGCCTAACACCAGCATTCTTTTTTTGTTTTGTTTTCATGGCAATATGATGCAAGCACTCTCCCTATTAAAGAAGACAATTTGGTTTAGAATGCATTTTTCTACCCTTACCTGGCCAGTTCCTCCAGTCCTTTCAATGCAGGTTCTGTGAAGCTGTCCTTCCTGAAATAGTCATCCTTGACGTGCTAAAGGTATCCCTTATGAGGAATCCCATTCTGGTGATCTTGGGGGACCACCCAGCAGAGTCATTTGTTATTTCGGCCACTGGAATGACCACACTTGTCACTTCTTCAGATTCATTACATAACTATGAGGTTGCCCACTTACCTTCAGCAATGTTCCTTTCCTGACACCTATGCATGGCAACATACGTTTGTCATTGCTAGCTTGACTATTAAAATGCTGCTGTTAGGTTGGGGCTTTTTTTCATTTATAGGGTAGTCAGTCCGATCAATCCAGTAGGGGCAGAGTTAATCCATCAGTATGCTGTTAAGGACAGGAGGTGACCAGAAAGGAAAATCACCAAAGGTAAGTATACAATTTTCTGTTTTCTATTTGCACATTGTGATTACACTGTAAAAAAATCAAATATTATGTAAATGTATAGCCTACCATAGGCAGAAAAGGTATATAAAAAAACAATTGCAATTTCTTTCTTTGGTACCCCTAACCAAAAATAGTGAGGTCTGGTGAGGTTGTCAGCAGAAGTGAGGAAATAAATGGTGACTCTCAAGCTGTTAATAAATCAACCTTGCAGAATGGAAGAATAGCAAAGAATGACAGTATAGTCTTTTGCCTTCCAGAAATTGCTTGTATTAACTTGCTTTAAATCTCTTCTTGTAGATGACCATTCCTCGGCCTTCGGTGACATCTACACAGTCTGCTTCAGAAAGCTTTCCATGTGGACCTCATTTAGAGAAGCGAGATCGGGATACCCATATCTTAGAGATGTTGTCACCACAGGAAAATCCACTAAGATATGGTGCATCAGAAGACCCTGCTGCTACTCTAGCAAACAAAATAAACCTTGCACTGGATTTAGACAAAACAAACCAGGAAAAAGGATGTGTCAAATCCCTAGACTCCGGCCATAAAGACTTGGTTAATAAGAATTACCAATCGATAAGTGAGAAGAAAGGTTTAGAGACTCCAGCACAGTCTCCGTCACATTCCCTACTTGGTTTCCTTGAAGGTAAGGGGGAACAAAACAAAGGCTTCCATCCACATGGGCTATCTCCTGAGCAGTGCAAATCCTCTGAAGGTGCAGTGTCTGATGTTAATCAACCTGCTGAGACTAGGACTTTCCACTCTGTGCCAAATGAACATACAGATTTTCAAGCTGTGAAACCTGATGTAGTTTCAGAAGAACACATGATTGTCTTTACAGCAGCAGGGGACTCCCTGGAAGTTCAGCAAAACGGTTTTCATGAAGAAAAGAACAATGTAGATGCTAATGGATTCCTTGACCACAAGATGAGCATGTCCACGTTACTTGAACAAGAGAATGATAAAGATCAAACAATTCTAAAAAATGGAGAGCAACTTGACCTGAGTGACAACTCTTCTCTACAATTTAGAAAGGATCACACTAAGTCCTCCCTTCCCACCAGACATAGCCGAATTCCTGTACTGGCTCCGGAGGTAGACTCGGCTTCAGAATCCTCTTCTCCAATCTCTGCTAAGGAGAAGCTTCTTTTGAAAAAAGCTCATCAGACAGACCTCGTCCGACTCCTACTGGAAAAACGCCAGAAGTCATTACTTGGTGACTTCTCAAGTGCCTCTGATAAGTCACTGGAGGAAAATACCTCACCACCAGCTATAGGTTTACTGGACAAAGAAGTTTTCTTCATTCCTAGAACAGTCTCAGATTCTAATGTCAGGCAATCGGATGATGGCAGTGGTGCATCTTACAGCCCTCAGTCAAGAAAAAGCAAAATCCCTCGTCCTGTGTCCTGGACCAGTAATGATCAGATCAGTAGTGCTCCTCCAACTCCGTTCCTTCCCAGACCCCCACCTGGAAAGCCACCTACACGGCCTGGAGTGGAGGCACGGTAAGAGCAGTGTAAAATGGTGATCTCTTACGGTTAAGTATGATATTGATTTTTAAAATCTACAAAATTGCCAATCTCATAATTATTACATTTAAAAGGCTAGTCTGTCTAAATTTTATGTTCCAGATGCTGATATGTTAAACCACACAATGCTTTCTTGTGCCTTTGGACAGTCAAGTGGCGAAAATCTGTGCTCTTAGGTCCTGAATTCTTTACAGCTCTGATAGACATTTTGAGGGGGCTCCACTATTCTCTTGTATTTATTCCATGGAATATTTTCCCTAAGGAATACATGTGGGGGGTACCACATCCCAAATTTATATAGAACAATACAAAAAACAGTACATTTAGTATTTCACCGGCACACACTTGGAAAATCAAATATCGATATTACATCGATATATTTATTTGGTGAAGGATGTCACATAATGTCATAAGGTGCTAACGTTTCGGGTCCTCACAGGGATCCTTCATCAGAGCAACACAGTGACAGAATATATTGATGAATATATATAGATATATATCTATATGTATAGATATATATCTCAATCCAGGTGCAAAGAGAACAGCCCATGACGTAATTCCTGCCAAAATTCAAAAAAGTTCACATACCCAGACAGTGAGATGAGGTAAAACAAAAATATAGTGAAAACAAGAATAAATTAATACTATATCCATGCAATTGCTGATGCTGTATGTGTGCAGGACTCCCTGCCATCAGATCTCCTGGTGCCGATCTTACAGCGTCCCAGGTTGCCATGGCCACCGATGTAGAGCGGTGTGTGATCTCCATCTGGATTCCACAGTGGACTGCGCATGCGCCGGAGGTTGTAGACACGCCCTCGTCGTCTGCTCGTTGCTAGGATGCGGCCAGAGCGGCCGGGCTGTGAGCCGCGTCCGCTCGTGTCGCAGTGACATCCAGCAAAGGGGAAGGCTGGATGCCTGTACGGCACCAGATGATGAGCGATAAACAGACATTGTGCATAGGACCTAGGGTCCACAAACAGCATGTTTAAAACATTGTTTGAAGACGTAAATTAAATTATCTTTCGCCAATGCTTTATTTTTGATATTGATTTGATACATGAAGTGTGAATTCAAGATATTGATATTTGATTTTCCAAGTGTGTGTCGGTGAAATACTTGAATTTACTGCTAATGTTTGCACGGCGTCATCCATGCGGTCACCTTGAGCACCACAGATGCCTTTTTGGACTGTAAGACTGTAGGAGTGCGAATGGTATTTGGACCCAATACAATAAACCGACAACAGACTTTCTAGGTACCAACATAAGCAATCAACAATGAATAATGTAAAACATGTATCATCTTTAATTACATAAACCTGTATTAAAAAGGCTTATAAAATATATGTATAAATGAGGTGGCTCTAACATATAGCAACTACTTAAATATCAAACTCCAATGGACAGAAATGTTGTATATCACTCTGGTTCTTCATGTCTCTGTAATGCGTTGTATTCGCATGAAGAATAATGTGATCTACAACAATATTTCTGTCCATTGGTGTTGGATATTTTAGAGTGATGAGTAGTTGCTATATGTTAGAGCCAGTAACAATGTCACATTGATGTATTTTATATGCGTTTTTAATGTGTTTATGTAAATAAAGATGATACATGTTTTACATCATTGATTGTTTTTGTGGGTACCTAGAAAGTCTGTTGGCTGTTTATGGTATTGTTAAAGCAGAAAGGAGACACGGTCATTAATTGTCTACTTTCCTTTCCGGGTCTTTTAAATGAAGAACAAGGCACACTGAGCTATATCTTTAATCGGCTTACTCTCTCTGTTTAGGCATGTGTATAACACATGGCAGTGCTGGTGCTTGGCTCCTCAGGCCACCAGTACTGTCACATGGTGGCAGGAACAGCATCCTCAGCCTTATGCAAGCTCTGAGGTATGACTCAAAGCTTCCACAGGTCTATCTGTCTTCATTCCCATCAGTTGAAGAGAGTCCTGGGAGAGCAAAGTGAAGTTAAGCATAAGCTACTGGTGGGGTCTCTTTTAATGTAAACTTTGTCCAGTGTGGGCAAAGCACAGGTTCACTTTATAGGACACATGATTATGCCGCCATCTCCTTGTAAATGCGCTGAAGAGATTAGAAGTAATCTTTTAATTTGTACTGATCATCAGTTTTATTTCATAATCCAGCAACTTAAAGTGCATACATTGGTATTAACTTTGTATTTATAAAGAAGTGTTCATAATTGTTGGTTCATCTTTGTTTTCTTGCAGAATTCGCCGATATAAGGTTTTGGGAAGTGGAAACTCTGACTCAGACCTGCTTTCCCGTCTTGCTCAGATAATTAAAAATGGATCCCAGAAGCCCCGTAGTTCCTCCCAGTCTAAAAGCCCCGGCTCGCCTCACAGTCCCAAAACACCTCCCAAGAGCCCTGTCATTCCTCGACGCAGCCCAAGTGGTTCCCCACGAAGTTCATCTTTACCAAGAACCAACAGCTCTTCCTCTTCAAGAATTGGACGACCCCATCACTATGAGCCCAAAAGCTCAAATTCTTACGTAGGCCGTAGCAAATCACCACCCAGCCTATCTGGCTCTTCTTCTTCAAGAAGGTCATGTCAACAGGATCATTGCTGTGGTAAACAAAGCAAGAACCTATCCAAGGGACCAGGTAGCGGTCATCATTCAACAGGCAGCAAAACCAGCCGGGGAAAGCCCTCTATACGGGAGAGCAAAGTTTCCAGTAAACTGAGCAGATAGTAACCAGGCTTGGCCTCATCTGCAGCAGTAATTTATTGTTATGCATGTTGTGTATGTCACTATATATTTGAAAAATCCAAATCAGTGTTGGTCTTTATGTTAATAGGATTGAGCTGAATATCCTGAGTCATGTTTTTGTCATGGGAGGAATAATAAGAGACTGATGTCAATCTGTTTGGGTCTTTGCCAATGGGGAAGGTGGATGGGGCTGTTGTGATTCAGTGCTAGAGCAGCTGCACTGCCTGTTCAGAGTAGAAAAGTTTTGTGGATCATGCATAAACTGTAAATGAATTCTAACATTCCAAATGTTGGCAGATAACATCACATTGCATAATGCAAACATTATCACTATCGTATAACAAACAAAGTGCTTGATTTGTTTGAATATGGTATTTTCAAGCTGTGAGTCTCAAGCATTTCAACTAATGCTCTTTTCTTCATTGGTAGTTTAACAAAAACTGGATTGCCACAGATAATTTAGCTCTGGTCCATAGTTCACATGCATGTTCATTTTTCTTTCCCGACATGGAAGTTATATGAAGATAGTGTTCAATGGGTCAATGATTATCTATACATTGCCATGATTGCTCTGCTGGTCACTCCTAGAATTCCCTAGAAAAGGCAGCTTTTCAGTGTCCCAGCAAGTTGATGGACTGAATTTAATAAAATGGTCCAGAATGCTGTTACACATCTATAGCTGAAGTAAAATGGTCTTAATGCTGCTTCATTTTAGAAAATTCAATCTGCTATTGACTTGTTTACAGCTTATAGAGGTTTACATATTCCACCTATTATTAAATTAGCCAAAAACATAAATATGTAATGTATTTGCTGTTGCAGGATATGGATCTTGCACAAACAATCCCTAACCCATTTGAATGTCCACCCCACCCAAAATGCTTTCATTCTTGTGTGAGCACTAGAAAAAGAATCGCCTTATGGATTTTTATATCTCTTGCAGACTCTGGTGGTCCTCTGCAGCACTTTGTGCCTCCACCTATTTCTTCAAGGCAGTTAATATTGCAGGTGGACTTAACAGTCACCCAGGGTGATGGGATTATTTGGCTATCTAATGGTTGGGGCAGTCAGTGGTAAATTTGCTGCTGTGATCTCAGCACCAGTGCCCCAAGAGATATAAGGTGGCATCATGTGTATGTTTATTAGGACTACTGATCTGCAGTCAGGCAGATCCACAATTGTGGCCCCATATTACACTTAGGACTGGTTTCCTTAAAAGCTGAACTCTATGGAAATTTAAAGACGACCTTTGCAGTGGGGCTCCTCTGGCAATGCAGTAGTTGAATGACTGTTTTTGTCTAGGAGGACATTAGAAATATGTTTTACTTATCTTATACCTCAGTCACGCATGCTCCACCTCTCTCTCCATGTGACATGGCTCTTGAATCGACTTATCTACAGCACTCCATCCGTTGGTTGCACTCAAACCTGCAGTTGTGATGATGCCGAGGGCCCACCCATAACCCGGATTGTCGGGGGAAAGAGATTAAGGGATGAGATAAGTAAATTTTCTTTGTAATGTTCTCTAGAAAACCAGAATTTAGCCCTTGCAGTGTAGGAGGAACTCCAATGCAAGATTAGTTTTTAACTTTCCTTGTAGTTCACTTTGAAATAATTTTGCATTTTTAATATTCAGGACTCCCAACATTTATTACTCATTATTTTGATTCTGAATCTCTGCAGGATCATTTTAAAATGTGCTTTTTGTGGTGTGACTATGCGTTACTGCCATCGAATTCCAGTCTCCTTTTTATATATGTACAGCTGAAGAAGTAAAATAGCCGTTAAATAGGATCATCTCTCAAGGTCTGATAGTACTGATTGCAAAAACATTTCAGAATGAAAAATGTTAATTCTCCAAACCTGGTAAGAAAAGGGGGCTGACCAAAAGTTGTCAGTTGTGGTAGTCTCTATGCCTACACATACATTTTAGAATATTAGTTTGTCGTGTTAGAAATAGGAAGCTTCATTATAGAACCACCATAAAATCACTGGTAGCAGAAGCTTGCACAGTGTCTTGCTTTGATGAGCAATTCAAGAGGAGCATATTGGGGAATGCACAAGCAGAGGTTTTGCTTCTGTAAAAAACACATGGCAAACAAGACTAGTAGATCCAAAGGCTGCATATCCCATTTAAGTCAGAGGAGGGAAAAGTCAAGCTCAAAAGCAAAGGCGAACATTTGCAGAAAGCTTCACCTGCCTATCTATAAGCATCTACTGATCATTTTGACAAAATATTATTAAGGTATCCTCTGTTTATTTCTTCGTCATATGCCCAGTCTGAATTGCCCAGGCCATCCACAGATTCATTTGAAAACTGATCTAGATAAAAAGTAGGGCTGCGGAATTTAACGATTAATCGTTAATTTTTTTGATCGATCAAAATTATTTTGATCGATCAAAGTTCTTTGGATCCGTACTCACCTCTCCGCCGGCTTCCGTCGGAGATCCGGTGACGTCACGGACATCGACGTCACCGGACTCCTCCCCCCTTCCACAAGTGGCTCTAACGGCTAACGAAGTGAAGGGGGGAGGAGTCCGGTGATGTCAATGTCCGTGACGTCACTGGACTCCTCCACCTTCCCTTCGTTACCTGATGGAGCTGCTTTGGCCGGTGAGTACACATCCTAACTCTCACGGCCACCTGGGATAGACACACTTTTACCGGAAAGGTTTAATCTGCTCAATCGAGCAGATTAAACCTTTCCCAGGGATCTTTTTTTTTTCTGACATCGGGAGCCGCGGCCTGACAGTCAGAAAAGAAAAAAAAAAGGCATACGATTGCATAGCTAGATTACTATTGGCTATTGCACTTTGCAATAGCCAATAGAAAACTAGCTAATGCACCCGCCCACTTCTGCTGTCAATCAGCAGAGGGGGACCTGAATTTTTCTATCAGGTCCTCTTCTGGTGATTGAAAGCAGCAGGGGGCGGGTGCAATAGCTAGTTTGCTATAGGCTATTGCAAAGTGAAATAGCCAATAGGAATCTAGCTATGCATTCTTATGCCTTTTTTTTTTTTTTATTCTGACAACTACAAAAAAAGTCTGCAGATAGCAAAGAAGCTATTGCTTCCTGTGCTATCTGCCATCATTTCAGGGGGGTGCTCTCTCCCAGCCCCCCCTAACCCCCCCCCCGCGGATGGGGGGGACAGGGCACCTCCCTGAAATGAGAGGGCCACCTCCCTGAAATTGCTTATTTCAGGTTGGGATCCCTGGCATTGGCCTATACACATACAGCACAGCAATGAAGTAATAAAATAAACTAGGATCACACTAATCCAGCACGTTATTATTCTGAGTTGCCCCACTCAAGCGGCGGCCATATTGAGTGGGGCACGTGAGATTAATAACGTGCTGGATTAGTGTGATCCTAGTTCATTTTATTACTTTATTGCTGTGCTGTATGTGTATAGGCCAATGTAGTTGGATGTGTATGTGCGTTTATAATTAATCTAAATTAATCGATTTAAAAAAAATTTCGATTAATCGAACAGGAAATTTTTAATCATTACCAGCACTAGTAAAAAGTAACACAGATGTTAAATGTGTACTTACTATTTCCCTTGTATACAAGTTTGGGGTGTGCTTTTTCCTGATCCACCTATAAAAAAGAGGTTTCTAAATGGCCAGTCTAGTAACGGGTAATATACAGAAGAGCCTATGCAGAGGAAGGTGACCAGTCATTAATATCGGGGTTACCTTTTATAAGCAAGAATGGGCTTCAGCAAGGGACAAATCCATTTTATTACAACAAAATATTCCACAGGAGGTGTGGGTTAGAAGATAAAGAACAACTTTGCATCGCAGCTGTATTAACTGGCAGAAGTGGCTTTTGGCCCGATCATGCCAGCAGGACCTGAACATACCCAGCATATCGTCTTTCATGTTCACAGGGGTCAAATTGAGGTTATTGAATTTTAATGCACTTTTGAGCATTTTAGTATTTTTTTAGAATTTATTTGGTTGATACATTTTGTCATTACCTGTGACAACGGTTCTTAATAGCTTGTTTGTGACTCTTGATAGGTGTTGCAGTCTTCAATGGGAAGGAAGCATTAGGAGACCACTGCATTCAGTTATTTTTGGTGCTTCTTATTGGAACACCTTGATGTGAATTGACCCCATTTAAGCAATTAGATTTCTCATGTCTGGGCATTTTTCATGCCCTGGAAAGAAAGCAGCAAAGTGACTGCTAACGCTGCTAGTGTGAGAGGCCGCAGAGTCATCACAATCCAGTTGATGGTAGAGTTGCAATTGATAGTCATACTCTTACATAGCAGTGAATGCTTTCAGCTGGAGTATAGGATTCAGAAACTGTAGCTGCAGAACACAGATTGGCTCGGGAAATTTGACAAGGGATGAACGTTTATGTGCTAAGGGACAGATACTTTGAATGTATGTTTGTGCATTCCTACATTTCCACAGAGCAAGCAAAGCATTGTATATATGCATTGATATGCAGTGAATTGCATGTAGCTCTGCCATTAAAAAAAGGCTGTATTTACATCATGCATTGCAAATATCCTTGTGGCTTTTTGATGCCAGAAAATGGCAACCTTAGGATACATAAGGGAATTTTTAATTTTTCTGTGTCCATGTGTAGCTCTTCGCTTTTTAACCTCTGCTGTGCTGGAGGAACCTTGCGGTCATATTACGCACTGTGGGTATAAGGGATATTGATATAGCTGACAATGTGTTTGTCTTTTTATATGGTTACCCTGTCCTGAACAAGCTGCAGCCCCTATACCCTCAACCCTTTACTTTGTATTATATTGTACAGTAACTTCTGTCCCTATAACTGCATGCCCGAATAGTAAATTATATCATATATAAATATATATAATATAGATATATATATACACAAAAGGAATTATCATGTGCTCATTCTACATCTGTAGGTTGCTTTTATTTTGTGTGCCTGAAAATGTTTCAACCTTTCATATATGCGTACGTGCAGGTATTTTCCGAGCATGGCAAGTTGTTGTTTTTTTCTCTCCAATACTGCCTCATGAATAAATCCATTCTCATAACTGCACGTATGAAGGGTTGCCAATATTTTCTTCAACCACTTTGGCTTCTATGTATATTTTTGTACATTATTTATTTAACTGTATTATAGTTTATTTAAATGTTTCCTGAATATTATGTGCTCTGTTAACAGTGTATCACATAAAGTTGGTTCGTGTAGAGAATATCTTTTTTTAATAAGGTTCTTCATT